CCCGGTAGGATTCCTAACATCTACTATCATAATAAGATAGCCTGACTTCTTACAAGTTTGTGGTATGAATTTTTGTATAGACTAAATGATGAAATACAGGTAACACAGTGTCATATTACTCTAGTTACTAATACCTGCCCTACATATCCACTATCAACTGCACCACTAACTGACTACAAAAGACCAATACCTTCAACCCTTATATATATTACTCTAATCTATCTTCCTCCAAATACTATTGCTTTTCTACAGCCACTCAATGCCAGTATTATTGCCTCTTTCAAAGCCGCCTATCACCACTGCTATGTGCAATTCATAGTTTAACATTTTAATCTGCATGGTAAGCCACCTTCCAAATTAGACTCAGATATTTTGCAAGCAATCTATCTTATTGCAGATTCTTGAGAGTTAGTTACATCTTCTATGATTACTCACTGCGGGACAATAGCAGGAATAACAAAATCCTATTGACTAGCTAGTACTACAGATGTAAGAAACGTAAATAGTCACTGTAGTCCGGTTGAAAAATTCATTAGTTTGGAACAGCAGGGGTATTACAAGGCTTGGAGCACTTTATGAAGCAGTGACAACAAGAGCCAGCAAGACCTAGAAAAGTTTTTTGATGCCTACTTCATAGATATTAGCAGGACAATATGGAAGAACTAAATACACGTTTACAACCAGTTCTCCTGGATGCTATTATGATTATCCAAGAAGGTGTGACAACTGGTATGCTACTTCGGCCGAAGGACAATCTTCATGAGAGCAATAATGAAAGCATAAATGAGAATGCTCAAACATCTCTATTAATCAATAATGAAACCACTTTACAATATACTAATGAGCTTGGATGATATCTACAAGCTCTTCTAGTTACTCACTTACCTCTTTCCATCAGTGACACTCTTTCAGTTGAAGAATTCATAGGTTATTCTCATAAACTTCATTTAGGACTTCTTGCATAAGTTTTCTTTCCTCTACTTTCCAATCCTAGTTAATATTTTTTTTAAACTATTGTGATGGATATAAAACCCAGCAGACTACAATCCACCAGTTTTTTAAACCATCTGCCTTCAAGTCAACCAAGTCTGTCTTAGCCGATCGAATTGAAGAACAGCATTCTACTCAGTACAACCTCAAGGATAGTATTGGTATCCAGCACCTTGGAAGAAAGGATAAGGAAAAGGGAAAGGGGAAAGGAAACTGAAAAGGATTGTGCAGGTTTAGGATTGAACTGGGACATCGAAGCTGAATATCTTACAACCAGTAATGATACAGAGGAGGATGAGGATCCTGCAACCTGTGTTGCAACCAGCTGGAGGATGAAAAGTATTAATACTGCATATGAGAATTTGTTAAGATAAATCTTCTCATAAGAATTGAAATTCATCTTTGCTATTTTTCTTCAAATAGTCCCCTCCCTCTCCCGTCCCCCTCCCTCCCCCGCTGTCCCGGATACCCCGTTGTCCCGGACGAATTCTGTAAAATCTGACCATCCGGGATAGCGGGGTGCGACTGTAAGCTATGTATGATACGGTAGAGGAGATTGAACACGCGCCAAAGGGCGGAAGAAAAAAAAAGAAAGAAAATCTCATCACGTGATGGCGGTATGATGATTGTTCATAATAATTATATTGTTATTCACGCTTCTATTATCATTCCTCCTGAAGAAATCTCTCGCTGAGGGCCTGCCCCATCCTCTTCATCATCCTCACACCTGGTGCTAAATGGTTAAACACCCTAGGCGGCTCGTTGACATTTTCTCCACCAAGGCCCAACATCTTTGCATATCATACCTCTCTCCCGGGTCAGGCATCGAATGCCCTCTACCCCTTGCCCCTCCCCTCAACAATCTCAATAGTATCCACCTGCTCGGGTGTATCTGTGGTGAGTCCACATTTATTACTTCGTGTTCAATTTAGTCCTCACCCTCTGCCGGCGGTGCAATGAGTGATGAATCGGATGTACCCCAAGTACAACAATCTTCCTTCCACGCACGACTGGTTAGCAAGTAAAGCTCCTTGTATGTGTTAGCGAGGGCGGGAACTCGAGCCCATGCTTGCCCGGGCGCTACAATTCTACCAGGAAAGATAACACGTTGGGGTATGCACCATGCATGAGGAATTGAAATATACACTTAACATAGTTGGTGGGTATTTTTCCTAGCATTGGACACCCTGAAAGTCCTTCTTGAATTCATCTTTACGGGGGTATATATCCCTTCTCACCCCCATCCCCCTCAAATACCACTTCTCATCCTCCCCCCTCCTTTTGGCTCCCCACCTCATTAGCCGTAGATCTCCGCTTCGTCTTCCCTTTTCCTCCCTCGCTCCCTCTCGCCCAACCTCCGTGGATGATCCCCTGCATCCCTAGACCCATTTTAGTATTTTTGGTGATTTTAGCGTGACCAGCCAAAAATGCGGTAGCTATAGCGGTACATTACGAAACCCCTTTGAAATCTTAGTCATTGAAGGAGCAGTAACCAGAAACACAATCCCTAGAAAATCCAGCAGGTGCTCGAGACAGAGTAACCAAAGCCCTCTTGGAATCGTGTTCTCGGTTGTTGGCTCTCCGTTTCCCTTTCCCATGCTCTCCAAGCTAGATGCTCAGGGCTTTCAACAAACTTTATCGCTTCTCCCACAGTAATCTCAATATCCACCCAAAGAACTCCTATCCATAGATTCCTGGAGGCCACTCTACCCAAATGTACCCGGCGGTAACGCTCCATACCCCGGCGCAATCGAAAGAGGAACCATGAACTAGATCCCATAGACCTCCACATCACATGGTACCTCCAAAACATCCCCAATCTCGACTTTAATCTTCACACTAGCAGGTATATTCCCAATACTGGTACTGAAAATTTCTGGGATGTTGTACTCCAACAGCCCACTGCTCGAAGCCTTCTCATACACCTCCTCTGCAACTCCCTTCAATTCCACGAACCCGGCAATACCCTTCCTTACTTTCACCGACTCCGCGAACGAAAGAGATGAGGGAAAAAAAATTTGCCCATTGTGGGGATATATAGGTTGCTTTTGAAATTGGTGCAAGACTTGCATAAGCGGGAAGAAGAAGACATGCTGTTGCGCCGGTGATACCGGTAGCGGAAAATCGCCGTCAGTGAGTGTAGTAGCTCATTGGCGGGAATAGCCACCCGGTATCGCGGTGAAGTTCCTCGCACCGAAACCACCCATGCGCAGAGGTTGGTCCGGTTGCAAGTCGTAAATCTGATCGCCAGGCGGGGGTACAGTACAGTACAGTACATAATCTTCGGGAAAGAACTAAATGCCAGAAGTGTGTGGAAGTGCCAGTTGTTTCAAGTACTCGTAGTGTCCGATAACTCCTCCTCAGCGCTGGAGAATTTCAGCAGTCCGGCAGCTTTACACTGTTCGGTCGGAAACCCCTTAGCACGAAAGATTACGCCCTGTATTTTAAGTGGTTCGACACTAGCAGTGTCGATATCATAGAAAAAGTAAAAAAAATATCACAACTTATCACTCGAATTACTGTGCACAGTACCGTACAGAACTGTCCTGGGTCACTAAAACGACGACCGCACTCATAGTAGCGATCCCGCAGATACCCCTCAGGTAGATCAGATATGGGAAGCTTTTACCTCGGTACCAACCGTGTGTTTAGTGATTAATGTGATAGTGGAAAGAGGTGATTTTAAACCGCCGGGCATTTGCCATTTCCGCAGCACCCGAGTACTGTACGGATAGATGTGAAGTATGTGCGTAGTGGCATCACACCATCATACCGGCATGATACTCTCGCAAGATCCACGAGTATGGCAGCTGGAAAGCCGCCCTCCAGACATGTGGAGACTTTGCGCGGGTACCATACCTGCCGGCAACCCTATTCCAGAATGAGGCTGCGAGAGAACCCCTTGCAGATCGCCACACGTAAGTAAAATACTACAGTACGCGAAACGAGCATCGTTGCTGTAACACGCCCGAGATGATCAGGCTACGCTCCACAAGATTTTGCGCAAGGGAATCACCAAACCCGCAGGAACAGAGACTGTGCTATCATACACGGGGCATCGAATGAATGACGGGTGGCTTTCGAGCTGCTTGCGAAAAATGTGTTTGAGGTCGATTCGGGGGATGTACCATGGTGTAGCAATATCATACTATCATACATTGGGCAGCTATGACAGCACTCGGGGTTCCAGTATCATACTCGAGCATATCTTCGCCCCACGATTTAAAATCAAATTAAGAATTAGGAAGAGAAAGGAAAAGAAATGGTATTCGTGACCGGCTACACCTAGGCCCGAAATTCCTTCCTTTCTTGCTTTTCCTTCCTTCCTTCCTTCCTTCCTTCCTCCCAGAAAAGCACATACGGCAGATGCCCAAGGCGGGAACGCTACGGCCCACCCACCCTTCCAAACAATCAATGCCACCACAAATACACAAATTTTACATAGAGCACTAGGTTCAGTCAAAGTCCCAGCGTTCAAGGGGTGGTTTCTTTCTCCCGTTTTGTTCCGCCCGACGCGGCGACGACGATGTAGTCCGTTATTGGTTGGTGACGGTCACGGAATCTCACTCGGTGGTGGACACATGGGATTCGAGTTGCGGGGAGAATGGGAGAGAGAGAGAGAGAGAGACGGAACGACGGAAAGTAGAGGGTGTTTGGTTTGGTATTTAATAATTGGAATTGACAGATATTGCTAATATTGTTATGAAGGGTATACATGTACTAAGGAAATGTCATGAAAGAGGGTCTTCATCACGTCGTATCATCCCGTTAAAGAGTTACAGCAAAGGAAGGAAAGAAAAGAAAAAAAGAGACTCCCTACCAAATCCCAAGAAAACACCTGCAAGAAATAAAAAAAATTAAAAAAATAAATCCCCACGCCCATCCCATAATCATACTTCAGATATCCTCCCTAGCCACGCCACACCCACCGCATCCCCACCATCCCTCGCCGTTCCCTACTCCGCACCCAACACACATCCACCCCGCCGTTTCACCCCTCTTCTCTGGAATCATAATGGCATGTCGACGAACCGTACCTTATGTCTCTCCCTTTCCCTCTCCTTCCCGGCGATCACTGCCTGCGCCAAGGGTGGGTTCTGGTAGATTGGTGAGAGAGGAGTAGGGGGCGGGGATGTGGCAGAGTCGATGTCATCCGGCCGCTCAAAGGAGCAGACTTCGCAGTGGGGGAGGATGGAGGGGTTGATTAGGGTGCAAAGTTCGCAGGCCCAGGTTGTCGCCTGTTCGTAGCTCGGAGGGAGATCTTGAGATTCTGCTGGTGGTAGGGGAGGTGAGGAGGGAATTGTTATTGGTGCAGGGATGCGGGGGGATGGGGGAGAGGGGGCAGTAGTAGCGGCAGTCGGGGGGAGTTCGACTTGTACCGGGCCGTCCTCGTCGTCCATTATCCAGACTATGCTGCCCCGTTCCTCCCACAGCAGTTTCTGCTCGGCTTCTTCACGCTCTGCTTCCTGGATCAGCTCTATAGCGGCACTGATTATTGCCGCTTCATTTTCCGGGTCTTCGTCCAGCACTATCACTTCCCGCCCGGCTTGCTTCTCCTCCTCCTTGTCGCCGTTGTCGACCGTGACGGTCCCAGCACGAATGGTCCTCTCAGCCTCCGCCTCCATAGCACCTCTATCCCCAGCGCCACTCCCAGCACCGCAAGTCTGCGAGTCCCGTATGCGCCGCTCCGTCGCCACGGCAATCTTCTCACGGATGCCCAACCCGCCAGGCAGTGGGTCCTTCCCGCCAAGCTTCTGCCCGGATCCGGAATAGATGTCCCGTCGCTTCTCCGCCACCGCCAACGCTCGTCGACGGGCTTCGGATATTTGCGGATTCTTGGGAATTCCAGCTCCCAGGCGCTTACCCTCTGAGTAGAAGCCCTCTCCATCATAGCCACTACGGCGGAGGGTGGAGTAGGACTCTTCGAGGGTCTTCAAGTGCGCGTAGAAGGTGTCGTTGTGGGGGCCGTGGAGGTTGTGCGTTATTCTACCATCACCATTAGCTGGCGGCTTTCCCTCGCAGGGTGGACCAAGGGGGAAGACAAACTCATGCAGCATGGTATAAGCGCAATCCTCAACGTCCAAGAATACGCTATCATCGTAGGGTTGGCGGAGCCTTATGCAGACCTTCTCCCCACGATTGACGTTCAAGCCTTTTCCACCCAAGGCACGATATAATTAGCTCTCTCCTCCTCCCCGCAAGGGGCGTAAGGGATGGGTAGATATACCGAGTAAGCTCTTCTGCGCCGGATAAAATTCCGCCAAACAGCCCACCTTATACCCGCCCCGGCTCATGATGGGCTTCACAAGGCTGGCGATCCGCCGGAGCATGTAGAGGGCGTGCTGCTCCCTCGGCTTCCCCGGGATGTGCACATATGTACCGATTATCTGGTCTTGCGTCATCTTGTATATTCCTCTTCTTCTTCTTCTTCCTCTTCTCCCTTGTTCTGTCTGTCCGTCCGTCTGTCTGTCCGTCCGTCTGCAGTTGGTGTGGAAGTTAAAAGCGAGAGCCGTGAGTGAGGAGGTAGGCGTGAATTAGGCAGACAGACAGCTAGGTAGGATTGGTGTGGTTGCTATGGTTCACCCCAACAACCAAGAAAGGCTCAGTCACCGTCCAGCAGCAAAGAAAACTTTAGATAAGAAGCACTATGGTACGATAAGCTTAAGCAATCGAAGCAATCAAGCAATCGATCTGTTATAAAAAAACGAAAACGAAAACGAAAACAGTACAGAAATGAAATGGTGGGCAGAGAAAATATAAAGCGAACCAGCGACAAGTTTATAACACCAAAGTAAAGTAGAGGAATAAACACCAAAAGTCGAAGCCTTTACGGGTACCACTCGCGTACTTATATATCCCCCCCCCCCCACTTAGGCACACCATACACGTTACAAGGATCCTCCCCACAAAGTGAACAGCAGAACGAGGGAAACAGCAGCAACAACAACAACGAATAACCCTCTCCACGAGCATGATACAGTACTCTACAGGTCGGTACAATAGCCTACACACATACATACGTATAACCCAGGCTACACTTCTGACTCAACACCCAATTCGCTGGGTCGGGTACTCGAGTAAACGTAACCACCTTCCCATCTCACATTGGCCCGATTGTACATATTGTGATGTGTGATGCGCGCGGGAAGTGTCGTGGTCGCGTGTGGCTGGCTGGCCGGTTGATCCTATTTTTTTTATTTTTTTATTTTTATTTCTTTATTTTTATTTCTTTATTGATAATGGGAGGGAGAGGGAAAGGACATGGGGGCGATGGAACCGCCAGCGAATGGACATCACGCTCTTTATCACCAAGTAGGCTATTTCCCCTTCCTGATCCCTACTCCAGCATGCTGTACTATACTTAGAATTGCACTCCAATTCGCGCAGCGAGGCCAGATACGAGTGAAAGGAGGAAGAAAGGAAATGGCATAAACTCAACTCGTCGAGGCAAGGTTCTCTCGCCCTTCGTTCGCCTAAATGTCTCAGAAATAGAAAGAAGTAGAGATATCAATTGGCCGCCCCAACTATACACGCTTGGATTCCCCGCTTCTTCAGCATGGACCGGATAGCAGCCTTCCAATACTGTTCCTCCTGTGACATCCGTCAACACTCCATCCAAGTCAGCTAGTCAAGTCGGGCCGAACGGGGAAAGAGAGAAAAAGGCAAGGCAGGATGCACTACGGCATCTATCCAGGACTTGGTACTCGAGTACCCCTCCCCACATGTAGTGTTCACCCTGTATCACCCGTGCAGTGATCTCCGATACGGCATCTCACATAGAGTACAGTACAGCACAGATGCCAGGTTAGATCAGATGAGATGCAGGTCCGGCTTTTGGTTTTCCCGATCGACTTCCCCTCTCTTCTCCTCGCGCCCCCCAAAGCGAACCAGCGCCAGCGTCCTGGTAAAAAAAAATTAAAAAAAAATTTGTAAAAAGCCCACCCCCCAAGCAAGAGCCAGAATTCCTACCACATCCATCACGGCCATCCAAAACATGTATAAAAAATTTAAAAGAAAAATCAAGCTTGCACGTACATCCAGCCACCCGATCCAAGCAACCCAAAGAAAAAAGAAAAAGGAAAAAAAGCAATTGAAAAAACAAACCCCTAAAAACCTATCCCAACCAAGATATAACCTACATAAGCAAAGGAATGAAAAGGATAAAAGAATGAAATTTTAGCAAATCCTCTATAACAGCCCGTCTCTCTATGGAGCGATAGGACCCTTAGGTGGCGTTTGAGAGTGCCCCTTGGTATCGTTCCTCTCAAGCTCTAGACTATCCTCCATCCCAAACCCAGGGCCCTCATCATCATCACCATCATCATCATCATCATCATCGCCCAGAAGAATATCACCTTCCTCAGACTCGTCATCGCCGGAATCTGGATACTCGCCTTCAATGAGATCCTCAATGAGACCGGCGGCTGCCTCTGCATCTGCATCTTCAGCATCCGTGAAGCTTTGCCCAACAGGCGCGCGGATCCGTGCACGCTCCTCCGCCCCGAGTTGTTTCGCCCGAAGCATCGTGCGTTTATAAATCAACCATCCGGTGATGATGCCAAGAAAAACACCTATCAAATGTCAGCTCCAGCACGATACGAAAAACATTTATTATTACCCCCAATAATGCTTCCATAGTTCAAAGCCTTCGTCTTCAAGTCCATCTTCTTGCCCTCATCCTCGGCCAGTTCAGCCAACTTAGCGCCGATAAAAATATGGATCAACAGCTTCGGTGTCGCCGCAGCTGTTGCAACCATGAAGCTCAGCGGACCGACGGTTGGGAACGTCGACATGGCACCATTAGAGATCGAATATGGCAAGGGGCATAGCCGGATCATGCACAGCAATTTAATCCCATCATGCTTGAGTGTGAGAGAGAGCGCAGCAAAGCGCTTATCGGTGGCTACCATGCGTTTTGCAAAGCTCTTGAGGTAGTATCGACATACCATGAAGGCACAGGTAGCGCCCAGGATGGTGGCAGAAGCGATTATAAACCAGCTACCCGCGAAAATAAATCAGTCACACCACTCAGAACGTAAATTTAAAAAAAAAAAGAACGGCGCTAACTCAAAGCTGAGCGGAAACAAACCCATTAGGAAACCCGTAAACAAATCCAGCAAGCGTCACCGAAGTCGAGTACCCGATCATGGGTGGAAAAGCTGAAGCGAAGCAGAGAGCAAATATGAGGAGCCACCCAGCCTTCCAGCTTCTAAACATCAAGCAACAATCAGCAACGGAGCACGACTATTCTCTCCCCTCCCACTATCGATCAAGTACCTGAGCTTCGCAGCGAACGGCAGCATAGCGTGTAGTATCTTCGCATGGAATATTAACCCCAGTAAGGCGGTGGTCCCCATCACCAAAAGTACCAGTGACCCCAAGATCTTTTGCGTCAAGGTCATCTTGTTGAACCTCTTGTGGGCCCATCTCTGGAACCTACTGGCCTTAGCAATAAGGGCATTTCTCCTCCCTTTTCCAGAGCTCCGTCGTGATAGCCCCGACGATAGGGATGATGACCGACCCCGTTGGTTCCAGCGTGGCATACCCGGCGGAGGGGGGTGAGCATCGGGCGGAGTGTACAGAGCGCCCGAGTGACGCGGGATTTCCGACATTGCACAGTGCCGGTATCAGATGTTAGCGGGGAGGGCAGGCGAGCGGTGGGGAGAGAAGCTTGTTGAGGGTAGAGGAGGGGAGATGCACGTATTTCAGGAGGTAAAGCCGTGCTCGCGGAGTAATGGGACGGCTGATTGTTGACAGCGGAATGGCAGGATGCAGACAGGTCCAGGAACGACGTAAGCTCCCCCTGCCGGTCCCCAGGACTCCGTTGTTGCAATGTTACACTGGTGGGGGGCCTGTGGCTATGATAACGCCAGGACTCGACACGGGCCGTGGATGCGCCACAGCTTGCTCTCCCCCCCCGTTCATTCCCCAATTTACGAACATCCACTTTCCGCGCGGTACAAGTACTGTATGTAGTTCCCATTAAGCCCGGAATAGTATTTCCTATGTCCCAAGGTCACCATAACTGAGCGCCCTCGCAGCATTTCTGCCCATCCCAAGTTCCATTAAAGTGAGAGCAGTTTCATGGACTTGCATCTCAACGGCAGCCTCCCAACAGCGGCTCAAAATGTCTCACAAACGCCCAAAACCACATCAGCGTGGCAACAGCAGCTGACCTCCAGCTCTACAAGTACCGGTACCCGTATGAGAATAAAGGGGTGCGGTTTCGCGGGACAGTACGGTAAGTCACAGTCAGTTGCCTCTGTTGGGTTGCGGGACAGAAGCCAAATCACGCAAAGGGGAAAAACGACTCTCAAGCCGCCCACATTCCGTAGACCCGTCCCCCCAAAATGCGCTTTGAGATAAACTTGGTGAAACACAAGTACGGTACGGTACCGTACTGTACTCGTACTGTACTCGAGTACTCGAGTACATAAACAGTTTTTACCCCGAGCACAGATAAAGTGGCAGTCCCGGTTGGCATTTCGAATGGGTCAAGATCCGTTGCACACAAAAACAGCTGTCTTGGCAGGTACCTTGGGCTCTCAGAGGGAGCGTTTGACACAGGTTCGCGGTGGGTGAGCAGAACGACCCGGAAGATCCATTTTCGTGGTGGCCTTGGGGCAAAAATCGTCTTTTCATCGCTCATCCATACCGTAATGATATCATTTTCATCGGCACCCCTTTGAACTCTATTTGACCCGGCCCTCGCCCCTTAAACCCACAGAGGGCGCCCCGAGACAAAAATGAGTGACCTCTCGTGACGTCAACAACCTCTCGAGCTACCGGTCCCGGTATTACAGTGTCGTAGGATTAGAGTTATCGGGTCCCTTACAACTTGCTCCCCCAGGGTGCGGGCCCCCTCACGAGCTTTCAGGGTGCGATTGAGATGCTATACGGGTAACCGATGCGGCAGTCACGAGCACATTATTCAGCAGTAGCGTAGTATTGCTTCGTTCCGAGATAAAGACCCGGGGGGCGGAGGGCACTGAGATCACTCAGAGCACAATACTCGAGTAATGGTACTAATAATGATACGGTAGCCCGCAATTCTGCTCTGTTCCTCCCGGTCCTGCATGCCGTGCTTGGTGAGTTTACCGCTAATCAGGGGATTTAGCGTTCGAGGCGGTCGGGGGGCTAGCTACGAGCACGGGTAGGGTCGGGTACCGATATGCCTGCACCGTATCACAGCGCTGTAACAATCTGGATAATCTTGTCCAGGCCCATGTGCCCGGGCAGTGCCGTCCTCGAGGTCTGAGACAGAATGTACGCAACGACTGCAGAATGTGTCTCGATAGTGATCGCGGGGTGCCAGGGTGGGTAAGCGAGCGAAAGTGGTAGCCGGGTCGTTTGGGTGGGATCTGATATTGTTGGGAAAGATGGACAGCCGATACCGGTATGGTGGAAGCAGTGATACAAGATGAGGGATATCCTGAAGGTTGGGGAGCTTGTTCAAGGTTGCGCATCCGGGTATCGTAGGTCGCTCGAGAGATTGGCACTCGCACCTTTTAAGGTGTCTTGGTATTTACGAGACGGGTCCACATTACTCGAGCAGTGTACGAGTACTCGTACGGTATAGGACTTGCGGTGCTCGGGTAGGTGAAGCCCGTGTACATAGTACCCTACTGTATGATACCCATAGCATTACCGTACCCGTTTGGAATCCAGTGTTGGCGGTATCGGACAGACGAAATGGTCACTTGAATCGAACAGCCTCATCAACCTGTCGATCCGAAAAACGGGCTCCGGCTCCTCCAAATCCTCCAAATCCGTGATCATGCGGGACGTACGGTAGTGCGGTGTTTGGGCTCTACAGTACCGGTAGTTGTTTTGGGTGGGGCTCAAATAGCGGTAGGGTGGCGGGGCAAGTTTGAAAGCGCACCGGAGCCGCCATGGCCGTAAAACGGGATCTGATCTGTCAGTGCCGCCACCGTACGAGTACTCCAGTCCCGGTGCTCGAGTACGGTATTCGAGTAATTCTCTCCCACCCTTCCCCATTTACTCGTACCGGTACTCAGCACTCGAGTACTCGAGTGCACCCACTTTGCCCTTCCTCCTGCAGCCTTGCGATGTTGCCGAGGGAATTATGCATATATAATGCTGCAGCGCCAAGTCTGGATCGGTTGTCCCAATTGACTGCCGGTAAGGCCGGAGTTTGTGCCGCCTCCTTTACGAATTGTTTCTCCATACTCACTGGGCATCATATGTTCGCAGGAAGCGGCTGACAGCGGAGCCTTCGTCAAAGCCTTTTCCGCTGCTTCACTCTCAAGGTCTTGCTTGTACAGCACTGTTGTGCGAGGAGGAGTTGGAGTACGGTGCAGTACCGTATTAGAGCCAGCAGCATCCCTGCATTGGGATTTCGGCATGGTCGTGATCACAATTTCATCTGGTCGAGTGCGGTACCGTAGGTGATGATTGGGAAGGAAGATTCTGGTGGGGGATGAAACACATACGGTGGCGGGGGATCATACTCGAGCACTTGCCATTGGGACGGGTGCGATTTTATGGTATCATAGGGCAAATACTGGTACCGGTAGGTCACAAGCTATATAGTAGGGTAAGGTAGCGGCAGCAGGAGGTAGGGATGCTCACGATGTGGTAAGCTCACCGTTGGAGCTCTGGTGGGAGAGAACCCATTTGCACAATATTTCCAGCCATGCCCCTCCACTAGGCAAAATTGTTGGTCATATTGTAGGGTGGTAAGCTGCGGGGCCCGGGGGGGGGGGTGGATAGAGGGGCTGCAATTGTTAAAGCGTTGGGCCAATGGAGTACTGTAACCTCAGCCTGGGCTGTGAAGCAGGTAGACATGGCTGTGGCGTGATGTGAGGGGTGCAACAAGGGGAGAAAACGGGGACGTTTGTGCTAGAGAACTGAATTGTGGAGGAGATCTGGATGGTTAGGGAGATGAGAGCGTGAAATCGTAGCTATCCGGTACCGTGCTCTCGCGGAAGGTTGGAGACTACTGATAAGCTGGGAGGGATAGCTTCAAATGTCCGGTGGGCAGGGTGCGGCAATGGTCACGAGCCGTTGGCTCATCCGTCGATGGTACTGTACTTGTATGATATTGTTGTTCCTGGAGGTTTGTTTGGGATGTTGTTGTATGATAGCAGCACCCGACCCCTCGCCCTTCCTATCTCGTCCTGGAAGGGCTGAGGGAGCAGTGAGAAGGGCCGGAGAAGGGGACGAAGGCGCAACGGACAGAAAAGGGTTATCGAGTGAGCGGGCCTTGCGATACCGCTTACTAGAAGGGAGCCGTGACCTACGGTAACCCCCATCCATCGTCCTTCTCTCTCCTGCTCTCCCTCCTCCCCCTGTTTCCCAAAACTTCATCTCCCAAAAATATCTATAACCATCCCATCCCCCACTCCCACTCACCCTAAACCTCTTTCCTCTTTGCTTCGCGGTATTTCTATTTTCTGCTTTTGCTCCTTCTTTGTTTTTAGAGCTTAAACCCCTTTCCTCGGCCTGTCATTTTTCATTCCTATCGTAATCTTTTCTATTCGCACTTGCTTTACAATTTTTGGGCTTGCCTAGTATAGTACTGTACCCGTGGTGCCATTCAATTGCTTCGTGGCAAAGTTGCTGCCGTCTCCTCAAGCCCTCTCCCGCGCCGACTCGGGGTTCATCCTGGCCTACCCCCTTTGGGACCTCCCACCTTGCCATCTGCCTCGTCCGCGGCTCACGGGCACGACGATCTCCTGATACTCCGCTGCCTGGGCGCTTGAGTGGCCCGTTCTCTCGGTTGCAATGATCTCGGACGAGCTATTCGAGGAGTGTCGTCTTATTCTTCAGGGTTTGGCTTTCCACATTCAGCAGCCAGCCGAGCTCTCGCTAATCTTTCATCCCCACAATTTTTGCAGACACGAACTTGCTCGAAGAGGACCAAACGGAAAGGGTATCTGCCCTCATCGCATCCAAGACGGATCTCACGGGCACCCCCCTGGATAATGAGACGCTAGATGTTCTCTGGCGTTATCGCGAGAAGGTGTCTTCAACCTCTTCCCCGCCGATCCGTCATGCCCATACCATAGTTAGAAGAGCGTCCCCAGCACCATGGCAGTTTCCACGAGTGGGCACTCCAACACCCTCATTGGGCAGTACACCTCCAATGGCACCCCCAGGCTTTTCACCATCCTTTATTGGAAAGGGTTCCCCCTTTCCTTCCCCTAGACCGAGCCCAAGGCTGGCATACTCCTCCCCGCTGATACCCCATTCACCGAATTTGAACAACTATGAACCTTCATCTTCAAGCGACCCTGGATTCCCACCGGAAGCCTACGGCGATTTCGGGAGCGAGACAGTTGCTTGGTTGGTGGGCGATGACAATTCAATGGGCTTTGGGAATCGGAGCGCTCTTCAAGAGAATATGTCCCCCCATGATATGCTTCGATCGGTGCTCGGTGAAGGGCGCTCTGATGAGGAGATAGAGCAGGCGCTGGAAGTGTGCGGTTATGATCTTGGCACAACCTTGACAATGTTGATGGAACAGCAGCATTTCAACTGCATGGCGAACCAGACTACCGAGGGTTCCACAGCCATTGGGAAGTCCATGGCGCCGGCCCCGGTTCCGGCGGTCCGGCCTGTTACTCCTCGCAATGGCGTTGTCTGCCGCTTCTTTTTATCGACTGGGCAGTGTCTCCGTGCGGATTGCCGCTTTTCCCACGATCTTGGGACCACGATTTGCAAGTACTGGCTCATGGGCTCTTGCCTTGCGGGAGAAACTTGCATATTCTCTCACGATCCAACGATGTCTGTATCGAAGATGACAATTGACAACAACAGTCGAAACTCGACCCCCCCCCCTCAACTTCAGTTTCATGATTCGACCGCATTCCCCGCATTGGCCTCGGACCAGTGGGCAGCGATGGGGCCTTTATTGGGGGCCGGTATCAATCCACCTCCCGGTTTCAAACATCCGATCTCTCGTCCCAACTCTCGCCAACAGTCACGCGAGAAGGAGAGGAGCTCTACTCCGGTGCCCGCGGTCAATGATACTGATGCCTTCCCTTCCCTGAGCAGTAGCGCAAAGGCATCTGGGAATGGCAAGAAGCGTCGTAACAATAAGAGTGATGGCGGCAACAACATTCCTACAGGACCTTCATCTTTGGCCGATGTCGTCCGTGCTACACCCTCTCCATCCCCCCATTCTAACCGTACCTCTACTTCGTCTGGCGCGTCTTCAAATCGCTGGTCCGGGGTTGGTGGCTCTCCGTCCTCCAAGCGGACTTCTCGCGTCTCCGCTGCTCATATAACTGCACCACAGCAAATACCGTGGATGGAAACTGGTAGCGCTCTCAATAAGGTCTACCTAAAACACCGTAAGGATGCGCTCGGCCACGGAGTGCTCAGAGCCAAATACCTCCAGCAAGCCAATTCGGCCTGGCAACGGAACGACGCAAAGTCGGCCAAGGAACATAGTCGCAAAGCCAACAATGAGAATATTGCAATGATGAAGGCTCACAAGGAGGCCTCGAAGGCGATCTATGAGGAACGCAACAAGGGCGCGTCGAGTAATACCGAGCTCTTTGTTGATTTGCATGGTTGGCCTCTCCTCTGCTTTTGTGTTTTGGAATTGCTTTTGTGTCGCGATTGATTAACGGGTTTATGATTCACCGAAAATATTAGGCCTTCTCCCGGAAGAGGGATGCAAATACCTCGAAGACATCCTTGTCGAGCACCAGGCGAGCACCCGCCCGCTTTACGCAATCGTAGGCACCGGCCATCACTCCAAGAACAACAAGGATAAGCTTGGCAAGGCTGTCAGGGCGTTTTTGGATGAGTGGAAGTACGCATACAGAGACTTCTCTGCCGGCGGCGATAGAAATTCCCAGGGTGGTATACTGGGGATTGATCCTAGTAGCTTCGATAAGTCTCTTTTGACTGGTGAGGCTGGAGCCGGTAGCGGTAGTGGCTCTACAGCGACAAAGAGGGACCCCCCCAAGGGCCCTGGGGGCAAAAAGAAATGACGGATGTACCGGCTGCAAAGAGTAGTAAGTAAAGTAGAGGATATCCCGGTATTGCAGAGGGTGCTTGCCGTAACTGTTTTCGGAGCCTACTGGACTTTGGAAGCCATAATGTTACTGTCAGGGGGATGTCGGGGTCATGTTTGTGATTGGATAGAGGGCGGAAGGCCATGTTAATGTTACTGGTCTGGCAATGTCACGGTAGACACCGGGTTGAGGCTACATGTTTGCTACTTTTTGCTGCTGATAGAGAAGTTAAAAAAAAATAAAGGGTCCTCACGTATCTCGAGTGCTTTATGATGTGATAGAATATGGTGGTGACTGAAGGCACGAGGTGTCTTTTTTTTTATATTTTTTTTATATTTTACTCCGAATAGTTGGGGTGAGCAATAACGTACTGTACTAGTACTGGACCGATGAATGGGTCACTTGGAGGGCGCTGTAAAAAAAGAAAACCCCCCTGGAAATCTGGAAGATCTGATCGGCTCTCCTAACACTCGGAGGAGGCGATCCAAAAGGATAGGCGATGTCCCCGATATCACAGCATATCAGCTTCGCCCTTCCTTCCTTCCTTCCTTCCTTCCTCCCATCTTTTTTTCCCCTTTTCATTTTCCATTTTTCACTTTTTCCATAATAGTCGAACGCCCTACGGTACGAGTAGGTCAAGTCAGATGAGAAAATAAGAAATTCTACCGTAAATTTACCATACTGTATGTAGTACCGGAATAGTATACCATACCAACCATCCGCACAAGAACCCCACATAGTCTAAACATCACACCACACACGAAACGATACACCCTGCCACCGTCCGTCCGTCCGCGCCTTCCACCGCATCACGGGAGCGGAAATCCCACTTTGTATGGTTCAAATAGCACTGTATGATACAATACCAGTACAAGTAGAGAAAAGGAGGGGAGAGAAGCGCAAAGCACAAAGTATCACCCGGATAACTTAAGGTCCAAGATTATTATTATTTTTCGTATGATAGCTATTATCTATAGGAAGGCCCGTGGAATGGAGCCTAAGGTATATCCCATAAAAAAAACCTAAATAACGAGAGAAAACTTCATCACCGACCCTCCCCAAATGACAAATAAATGGCAAATGCCATGTGTACTCCTGTGATGAGATTGAAAATGATTTGTATGATAGCTCATGAAAACCGAACCAAGTTGGCATTTTCTACTTTTTAGGAAATCTCATAGTAGTGCTGGAGGAAAAAAATCCTACTCCGGATCTCATTATTGATTCTCTTCCGTAACTCCAGACTGAAAGTGGAAGGGGAGAGCCCCTAGTCTGGGGCTATGGGAGGGGATAAGGTGGGCAGCAGTGGGATGCTAGCCATGATGTTGTTATCCCAGAGGATGCCATTCCAGCACACTTGTGAAGCTCCGAATATATACAGTGGCCGGCAGGATCGTGAGGTGTGTACGTGGGTCGGGAAGATCGTGGAAGCGGAGCTTGCGGATCAGGTCCAAGGGCGTAGATGGTACTTGTACGAGCGCAATTGGTCAAGCCAAGTCCCGGGCAGTGGGCGGTGTTGGCAGTGTCGGGATTTGTCGGGCGTGTACGGTATTGAAGGGGTTTGTCTGTTGCGTTCTTTCTTTCTTGCTTGCTTGCTTCTGTTCTGCTTAGGTTACTATTGCTGGAGGAGGAAGGGATCTGGTTTCTGGGATCTGGTTTCTGGGATCTGGTTTCTGTAGATATATTTTGCTTAGATGGGGTTGTACGGTGGGTGCGGTGCCATGTGCCGAGGACTTGATGTGCTCCCGGGTTCAGGTCCGTATGGTATCATATATACCGCGGAGCCGGTTAGCTTGTATGGTACTATGTGGGGGTGGGGTTGTGTGGTTGGGGAAGGGCTACTCTAGGACGCTCTGGCTGTGCTGTTTGGGGAGGGTGAGGTGGGGGGAGGGGAATTTCCTCATTGACTGGTTGGTTGGTTGGTTGGTCCGTTGGTTGATTGATCGGCACCGGGGATTATTTCTAGTGGGGATTTATCAAGAAACGCTAACCTTATCCTAGGGTTTTACACGAGTGATGGAGGTTGATTGGTTGGTCCTATGAGTGGCGGTAGCTGGTTTATATGGGAGACAGCCCTCCATTGCACTCTAGAGGAGCGGAGATGGTGCATGAAGTTAGAGCGCTTCGATGCTCACTTCGACATTAGAGTGGGTATATGTGCTTGGGGAAGTTTACTGGATCAATTGCTTGGCAAATGGCTAATTTATAGCCCCTAGATGGCAACAGGGGATCCCCCCGTAGGGCTGCTTGCTTGTAAGAAGAGCAGCGTCCGAGGTCGGGAATAGATGGACAGGGGACATGTCAGTACTCGCCCTGGCTACGTGTGAGTGACAATCGATGATGTATCAGCCAGCTGTGCGGCCCGCGCAACTATTTGACTACGGACATCGGAGGTTTAGCCAGCAGCCCTTCATATGTATAATTTCTGCGGTCTACTGTTAGTTATACTACCAGAGCTGAGTCGTATTGCAGGCACCTTTCCCTCAGCACTGCATGTTCAAGCAAGCTGTAATAATATTGCAGGTTCCAGGAAGCTATTGTGCAATGCCGGTACTATTCCGCACTTCCGCGTCCCCCTTTCCCCCTCTCTCTCGACTTCGCTAGATGGTGCGAAAGTGAGGGTTACCGGTATTCCAGTTTTCAAGTTCCCACCCCGGGAGAGCGAGTACTGCGCGGTGTAATACGCGCCATAGGGTAATCTGTACAGCTTAATTAACTCAGTGGATAGTTTTCTCCCCCCAGAGACAAGGCACCACCGAGGGGAGCATGAAGGGATCGTGCAAGGGTTGCTCATCCCGCTCTTACATTTACACCTGTCATTCACTTCCGTGCCGGTTTCGCTTCCTAGAGGTTTCTTCCTCCGCCGCCGGGGGAAGGAAAGAGGTAAAAAAATCCGGGTCTGCAAGTTAGTTAGTCCGACGTGGAGGCTGTTGCACTCCTATAATTCCCGGCCACTCCTCTTCGCCCGTCTGTCTGTCTGCCCAAGGAACTATGATCGACGACGGGGCCAGCTACATGAGAGTCTCCTGCGCTGGGCTCGTGCGAAAAAAATTGGCTTTTGATCTCTCTTCCCCTTTTTTCGCGGGGGGTGGGAAATCTGAGTTCGGATGGTAGTCGTTGGAGGATTTATACCTGCTGAGGTCGCTGCTGCTGGAGGCGAAAACGGAATACGCTGGGGGGGTTGTTTGGTGGCGGGTACGTAATCGCAGTCGAGTACTATACAGTGCTGTGGTCGTGGTGGTTTGCACGCAACTGTGAGCATGAGGAGTATAGTGGGTGAGAAAGTTGCGGATCACCAGATTCAGGGGCTATAGAGGGGACCAAGCGAGCAAGATATGGTCGGGCTTTGTCCATCGCAATTGAATTCCGTTTCTTCCATACTTTTCACTGACCATTTGTTCCCGGGTGTCATGACTGCATCGCGTTTGACGACCCGGTCTCCCTCTTTGGGCTGGGCCTTGCGTATCCACCTCATTCAACCCGAGACGTTAGAGGGTCGCGAGCGCCGTACGAGCACACTTGTACACGTATGGACCTTAGGGCTAAGTCACTCATTCGTGGAAGATCGCTGGATCCACAAATCCGGCAGAGTATACTGGGGTTGGACCCGGGCGTAAGCTACCGTAGCTTGTGTTGCTGGTGCTGTAGCGTGAGTGGAAGAGAGGAATCCGTTTCAATAATACCCGTCTTCGAACTTTCCAAGTTTCGAACTGCCGTCAGCAAGCCCTCAATCTCATGGCACAAAAAGCTACAGTGAACGTAGCGACAGAGCAAGGGGTTGCCGGCAGAATTGCAATACAAACGGTACTTGTAAGGGAATCACATCATATCCCTGTCGGAACGGTGACATAACTACCCGCTGCGGATCATCAACAAACTTTGTCGATCCCCCACAGAGAAGAGGGCAGGTAATTCGTGCAAGAAGCTGAAACGAAACAACCTCCTTTCCGTTTCACGTCTGGGATGTTCTGTTGTCCGTTTGAGGGAATAGCAATGCGAACTGGTAGCACATGTGTAGCTTGAAAGAAAGGATTGAAAAAAAAAAGCGAGGAGGGGGGAGGTCTCTCTTTGCTAATTGTGTGGTTTGGGGTTGGTAAGTACGAGTAATTACGGGCCAACTTAAAGTATCGCCCCGGGGGGGGATACTCTATCCAGACAGAAAGCACTGGTATGTTGGCGCACGTGTGATACTACCCACTACGGTATTCGAGTATGGTACCGGTATCTTAACCATTATCCAGAGTTTTCCACAGATCGATCCTGGGGTACCATCGTGTCGTCGGATCGAGTAGGCAAATTGGAGCCAGCCCATGCCGTAATGGCTGTGCTGTAACCCACGCTCGGCATACCCATTCTGGTGTCCTGATGCAACGGGTATGTATGTATTATCTCTCCCTGAATGCCCGACATGGGTTCGACGTTCTCGTGGGCATGGGCCGCAGCCTTCCTTCTCCCACCCGCGAATATTCGTATTACGTGAAACAGTACCATAGGCAGTGTAGGGCACATTTGAATAATTGGACCGGATAAAGGGCGATGGTGAATGGAGAGAGAGAAGCTTGTCCCGCTGCTCTCGTAGCGTAGCAGAACAGTAAGGATAAGCGGGAAAGGCTTAGAGGGCGGTACCACGATGGTGGCAGATGGATGCGTGCATTGGACTCTGGGCTTCTCCTCTTGAGGGTAAGGATCAGGCACGCTGTGTACAAGACTGTGCCTTCCTCCAACACCCACGCGGAAGGGGTTCGGTGGAGTGATGGGATGATTTGCTAGAGCCGGGTATGCCAGTGGCGTGTGAGGTAGCTTCCCATGATGTGCGAATTAGCTAACGAGCGGGGGTGGGGTGATACTTGTACGGTGCTGTACAGTACCATGTACCGTACTCGAGCAGCTTCTCGTCCACTGGTAACTTTAATCGGTGGGCGCAGCACTACAGGTATCATACTTTGGCCATACACTATTAACGTTCCATGATTCCTTGAGCATTGTGTATGAGTATTTTTCTTTCTTTCTTTCTTTCTTTCTATTGTTGATTGATTCTTGCGCATCAATCAACCCCTACTAACCGCTGCACGAGTAGGTATTGAGGATCATATCATTCTTGCAAGCAAGGCATAGGAAAGCTCTCGCGACAGTCATTGCCCGCAAATAAAATACCCCGGGAAACCGGTACCTCTGGTGGTATTGGGAGGTAACGGAAATTAAATGCAATTCCTTCCAGCACGACGCAATGCAACTGCTCGTAACTGCTGTCTGGAATGTCGGTCAAAGTCTTGCTGCTGGAGACAGACTACCAGTACCGGATTTGATGAGCAGTGGTAGCTGATGCCCCAGAGGTCGCCACTTCACTCAAAACCGGATCAGCCGAGCAGGGCACAAGCAAGTGATGGGATGGTTGCTGCGCTGTGCTACTTGCCAATTGCAAAAGTATCCGGAGATCTGCGCGCCAGCCCTCTCTGCAAACCATACCCAAATCCGCGAGTCTTGGCGGCACCATTTCCCGATACCTTGGGGGTTGGTGAGCACTGTACCTACACCAGAGTACGGTACTGGTACTCGTGCAAACACACAAAGAATGGCATTCCATTGGTGTTGGACGTGCTGGACCCTTGGTGCTATCCGAGGGGGCATTCCCAGAGCCTTCCGTTTCCCTTCTTCTCTTTTCTTTTTTTCCCCAATGTTTTCTTTCGCTGAATTAACCGCTACCATTCTCACTCGGCGGGGGGGAAGGGTCACGAAGGATCAATGCGGTCTGCCGGTACCGGAAATCGTACTCGAGCATTTCGACCTCAAGTCCTGGCGTGAAAACTTGATTCTGCAAAGGAAACTGGGTGGTCAAAAAACATGAATACTGGCCAGGGGGGGAGGGGGGGGGGGGTCGAGGTCTCTGCTTCCGTCCGACAGGAAAGTACTTTAGCAGGGTGTCATACGCACACTCTCTTGCAGGAACACGTTTTTGTTCGTCAATCCTAGGGCGAGGTGGTGACCCTTATGCCGGCTCCTCCCCTCATATGCAAACCATGATTCGAGTGGCGAGACGCCGGGGAGCGTCGCTCGACAGGAGTGCTGAGAGGGTGCGAGGAATAGCACTTGGGAGACTTGAATGGGGACAGCTAGTTACCTTTGAAGCCTGACTAGCGGAAGAGGGAGGATGGGCGGTAGGGTGAGATTGTGCTGTTACTGCCTTTTTACGCTCAGAATCCAGTTACACGCACTGCAGTACAGTGGCTGACCTATCGTGCCATTCGACGGTGGCCCGCTGCCCTGCCTATGGTCTGGATATATCCGCATTGGAATGTCTATACTGAATGTGTAATAATGTCATGGAAGCCAAAGATATCCTTTTATTTCACATGCACCGCTCACTACCGGGCCTCCCCGTAGTATGATGGTTTCTCGTGTTTGCATTTGTGCGGGCATTGAGGCGGGAGGCCCCCCCGTGCCGGTAGTGTTGCTACTTTCTACCGTACCGTGCGCACCCTGTGTACTCGTGCTAGTTAGTTACATACTGGCCAACCCACGGGATCACACTGAGACCCTCTGGTCAGTCTCGCCAGCCCGAGTCAGCCCCAATATTGCCCAAAGGGAAGGGGAATTGCGGTGTTTTTACGTGCGGTGTATATATAACTCGCTTTCTCCCAGCCTTTTTACCCTCCTTTTTTTCGCTACCCTTAGGGTTGGTATCTCAGGGTTTGTCTGCTCCACTTGAATTCCTCTCCTCTCCTCCTTCTCCTCCTTCTCCTTCTCCTTTCACTTCTGCTTCTGTTGGGTTTACTTTTGTTGGACGCCGGTCATCCCTTCTCCTCCCTCGAAACTTGCGGTACGACAGTTTGTTTACAGCTTGAGCCTCAATCCCCCTCTCTACCCTTCCCGTAATAATGTCCCACCCGTTCAGTCCGCAAGCCCCACCCCCGGTAAATTGGTACTCGCATCCTCACTTCAACGCTCTCAAGGATCATTTCACAGGGAACCTACATCATCATTCGCATCCGGAACCTCTGCGGATATAGTGAGTGAGCTTCTTGATCTAGAATTCTTCCTTTTACCAGCAATGACTCCTTTCCCTTCCCCTCCATCCTTCCTTCAATTTTCTTACCCCCTTTCGTGTGCTGCACGGCCCTCGGCGGTGGTGATAACTAATTGGTGAGATGTTGGTGGTACTGTAGTGCCAATGGCGTGTATTATCCCAACTGGAGGATCTATAAGAATGAGCCTCCAAGTTCTTTGAAGTTGGGATTGATATCTCACGTGTTCTATTCTTTTGCGTGGGTGAAGCCGGATGGAACTGTCTATGTGCGTGCGAACAATTTTTTCACCCTCCTCCCTGTTATTCTCCTCAGTGTTTGCTCGTTTGCTGACACCGGATGCGGTGTAGATGAGTGATGAGTGGGCAGATTCACAGATTGACGTTGACGGTACGAAGGGTTGCCTGAGGTCTTTTCAGAATTTGAAGGCGAAGCACAGTCACTTGAAAGTGGTGTTGTCAGTTGGCGGCGGCGGAAAGGGCAGTGACAACTTTGCCGCTGTGGCTGCAAATCATGCTTCCAGGGAGAGATTTGCCCATACGGCCCGGGAACTAGTCAACGAATTCGGACTTGATGGAATAGATAGTAATATCACCCCTCCACTACCTCCTCCACCCCTTTCTCCATTCATCCAACTCTCTACCAACATCTGATTTTACCCTGCAAGAACTGACAGGAGCCCCTGCGATAAATTAGTCGACTGGGAACATCCATCCGATCGTAGTCAGGGAGCCGACTACATTGCACTTCTCGCTTCCATTAGGCGACAGCTCCCTTCCCCACATTATGTCCTCACATCTGCTCTACCGGCGGGCGAGTGGGCGCTGCGGAATATCGACCTCTGCAATGCACATCAGTACCTGGATTACATCAATCTAATGACGTACGACTTTTCGGGACCCTGGGTTCCTCAATCGGGCCATCACGCCCAACTCTTTTCTCCCCGTCGGCCCCACAACGACGCGGCACGCCTCTCCGCCGACTCTGCCGTCTCCTACGTCATGTCCAAGTCCGTCCCATCCTCGAAGATTCTCCTCGGCATACCAGCATACGGGAGGAGCTTCATGGGCTGCCACAAGCCCGGACAGAAGTACTCTGGCAGTGCTGGCGAGGAGGGGACATTCGAGTATAAGGACCTGCCCAGGCCTGGAGCTATAGAGCACTTTGACAAGGAATTGGGAGCTGCATGGTGTATTGGTGGTGATGGCGGGTGGGTCAGTTACGATAATCCCGCTACTGTCGAGATTAAGGCGGAATATGCGAAGAACCACAGACTTGGCGGAGTCTTCTTCTGGACCGGAACGGCGGATGGAGAGGGGCGTAGGAGTCTCGTCGAAGCGAGCTTCAGCAGGCTTCACACGCAGTAGCAAAGCAGCCGGCGCTACTAGCATCATGAGTGGAAACGTGGCGTTATTCTTTTCTTCTTTTCTTTTGCTTACAAGTACTTTTCTGTATCGTTCATCTCACATTTCTTTGCTTGCTTGCTTGTTCTGAAAATTTCCCTGATTCCCCCAAGCCAAACCAAACCAGACCTCATTTCTTTAAAAAAAAAAAAATTATAAAAAAAAAAAAGAGAAAAAAAAGGGCTACTGTACTGCTTACATTACATCATGCACTCTCTCTGCCCCCGCCAACTTATCGTATGCGCTTTGCTTGAGCATTGTACCGTACCTGCAACCGGAATGTCAACGCGGCAATATTTGCCTACCCATCCATTTGTCATGTTACTCATTCCCTCCATCCATGGTATGATAGAAACAATTTCCAATGCGGACAGACCATTCAACAAAAGAAAAATTAAAATTGAGGGGTTAAGGGATATGTCTAGTTTTCTTTACTAATGACGCGTGGTGATTGCGAATGCGACTGGGCAAACGGGTGTGACCGCGGGGCCATTCGAGTAGGGGGAGGAGCCCTATTACTCGTCGCACTGTACCCGGGAACTTGGTGCCGGTGGTGGCCTGCGATTGATGGGAATCTGAGGTATGATAAGGAGGCGACGGAGCTCTCTGTTTCGTGTAACTTGGGGGTGATTTGGGTTTTCAGTTTTGTTTATTTGTTTTGTGCCTTTTACTGGCTCTCTCAGGAGATGTGGTACAGTACTAGCACTCGTACAATGCTGTATTGTTCAGTTCGGCGGCAAAATAATGATGCTTGACGTGCTCAGCAACGGCGTTCGCCTTCTCACTTCTAAGAACCCATCCTCCAACATCAGCACATCATGTATAATAAATAACCTTTGGTGTGTCTAAAACTGCCCCCTCCCCTCTATTTTTGCCATGTAGAATAGATTCGGATAACTGTCGTTCCTTCTTCTCGGCTTTGAATCGTTTGAACTGTACTGCAGACAAAGGTCAAATCCGCCCGTTGGTTTTGTCCCTGCTTGGCTTTTTGCATTGTGCCGCGAGAGAGCACGGTGTGGACTTGCGGGTTCCATGATATTATATACCGTGGGTATTGGTGATGCGCCGTGTGGCTCAGGGGTTTCTTTCGGGGGGTTTTATCACGCCATACTGCCCGAGTGGAGTGCTAGTGCAGTACCGTATCAAACTACAGCTCACGGGGGTGGATAGCCAGTCATGATTTATCACTCATCCATTCCTGTAGACCAACGGGAGCGCCGCACGATAATGTAGTAAATATCGTGCAGAGAGGTGTCACCGTAGTTCATGCAGCGCGCGTTGGAGGGATGGGAGGGCTTTTAATCAAGTGATTTGCTACCACCTCCTTCGATGCCAGCTACATCGGGAGGTTTATAGGTTTTGCTTTTGGTAACGACCTGTACGATACGATAGTATTAAATATTTTGTATTAACCGGTAGGGATTTGCTTGTTAATATATCCTGCGGTGTAATAGTTACCAGAAGGGGTATTGTGGAGGTAAGCTTTCGTCGGGAATGTGTCCGGTGTGATCTGCTGTAAGGAGGTATAATACTGTATGTGCAATACCGGTAGCACCGGTAATGACCTGTCAACCTCCCCCCCCCCCCCCTCCGAGTGAGCGCTAGTGCACACACATGGTACTGCATTCCACCTTCGCACCATTGTGCTGTACGGAACTGAACGGGTTATGGGGTTCCTTGTGGAACGGGTTCCAATGTGAAGGCATTCACTGATCTATTATACCTAGACTTGAAAACTAGGAATTGGAATTCGATTCTTGGGGGATGTTCGATCGTGCAGGACATCTGTAGGCCTGTTGTTTTTCATCCCCTCTGTTGCTGCGGATATATATTATTGATTCCCTCATCGTGAGCTTCGGGTAAGCGCTGCACTTGAGGAGAATGGAATTGTGCTGGCCTGGGCAGGGCGCCCCCCCAAACAAACAGACAAACGAAAGTTCCGGGAGCACCGGGTGTACGGGATTTTGGTATTCGGGAAGGAGGGGAAAAGAAAAGAAAAGGGGGGGAACCTCTGGGAAACAATTCCTCTTGTAATCCTGCGGAGGATTCCTTGATTGGCGGATGATTTTGGAGTGGATGGGTGGAGTCTCGTGTAGTGTTGGATAAGTTGACTGTGTAACCCCTCTGGCTCAAGCTGGGAGCACCACTACGAGTGGACTACTACTTTCTGTAGCTTTGGGTGGAGATCAATGCTAGGGTCAGTTCTAATTCTTGCCAACGTTAGAAAATGGTATTGGAGGGAATCATAATAAGTCCGCCACTGCGTCGAAGAGATGGATGGGATGAAATCTCTATTTGAAACTTCAGTAATTTACTACCAATTGAGGAGAGATACTTTCCAGATCTCGTCCCTCTCCCAAGTATGGCAAGACATCTCGGACGCACCACACGACGGACTAAGTTAAGGGGTGCGTTCTTAAGCGGATATTTGGAACCCAAAGTTTTCGGTTTGAGCTGACTGCTAGTGTCTCACATCCTAGGTCTTGGTTGTTCGGGACATGCGGTGGTCCACCGGATTGAAAACACATCATATCAGCGGAGAAAGGGGGGGAAACACTCACATGCAGAGCCCCATGATGTCGTGAGCAACGCTAGAACATACTCTGCCAAGCAGGAACGAAAGCACGCTTATCATATAGACTAGAGTTACTCGCGGCAAGACCGGTGTTCCAAGTGCACTTTTAGGCCAGAGCCTCGCCAGTGTGATATTGTAGGGTGGGTCCCGGTCCGGTATGCGGGGTTTGTTTTGTACCGTGATGGTGCATTACCGGTATCATTGTTATGGTGTATTTGTGGGGCGCTGATTATGCAAAATCGCGACTCAACTCCGCCCGCTACCGTGACTCGGAAGTGTGCGGGCCATTTTGCTCCTAGAAGGTTTCCATCAGGATCGGCTTGAGTGATGGTACTCGTACAGTATGAAGGGTATCATACCGTGGCCCCTGCTGCGTGAGGGTTGGCCCATGGCGTATTGACGTTCCGACATAGGACAGCCGCACCCGATAAGGCGGTACTAAGGACTAGGTTGACAGTCCAAAGCCGCCGTTGGGGGAAATACCGGTGGGGGGGAAAAAAAAAAGGGTCAGGAGGAGGAGGCGAGAGGCACCTGTACTACTAGTACCGTACCGGACCGGTATGGTGGCGTCAGGGTAGCCAAGCGCAGCAGATTACCGAAATGCAATACAACGGGGAAAAAAAGAAGAAAAAGCAAATATCTGATATTTCCCTTGCTCTGCTGGTAGTTTATCCGAATGCCATATGATCACTCGCACGGTGGAGTGAATACCACGCCGGCCGTCATGACCCGCTGCGGGGAGCCATCCAAACGGGTATTCCCCAACACACCTCGGATAGAAGTGCGGCAGGTCGGCGCCAAGTAAAGATCTGGAGGGCGCTTTCTGGATTTCTAGGTCATTTATTATTTGCTTCTGGTGAAATACTGGGGACTTGAGGGCAGTCACCTGGAGTGGATATCCACTATTCAGGGGTTGCAGGGCCGAAGCACCAGACCTCATTCAGTATTTAGCGATGACTGGCTTAGACACGGCGTGAGCATAGAAGCATTTGGTGGGTCTGCCGCTGCTTTTCTCGCGCTTAGACATGGTTTTCTAAAGTTTACCGCTTTTGGCATGGTATAGTGTGGAGGGTCCGGCCTCTCTTCACGGTGGCTGAGACCCAATCTCTACCCACCGCGCATGATAGGTGAGTGGAGTGGAATTGAAAAGCTTCCTAGCTAGGGGTTATGTAAATCAGCCGATAGATTTCAGCGATCCCGTATAATTTAACAGCGTGCCCTTCCGTGGAGCCGGGAGGAAGGAGGGAGGCAAAGGAGGCCTGGTGGTCAGGTGTATTTTACATGCGACTTTCCGAGGAGGTTTGCTTCTCGCTGTTTGCCAGCAGGGGGCCTACCTACTGCGTTATCATAGCCCCGAATCAGCGGTTCCGTCCACCTATCATACTGCCTCTGCTATATGGCATTGGCATACTCTATGCGTGAAAAGCCCAGGCCCCGAGCACAAAAACCGCACGAGTGATACATCATGACCAAAATCAACCACCCCGTGCCCCCCAGCACATCGGGGGTCTAAAACCCTCCCTCTCATGTATGATATCATAATTATGATACCGATACTTTGAGCTAGTCCCCGGCCTTGCACCCCCTCTATTTGGAGTTTACCATGACTAGATGGCCCCACTGTATTAAGTAGCCAGGAGACACAGTCATGAACCGCATAGCCTAATTACACCCCTTCTCTTGGGCCCCAAATATCCCAGGAGGAGGAGACTTGGCATCTTCCCCTTTTCCTTTCGACGAGTGATGCCCGATGACGGCTCCTACCGGGATTCAAGTGTGGTGTCGAGACCCCCGCCTCACCGACCTATGGAGATTACCGCTTCGGGACCTATGCAGGGGATTTTCAGGGTCCTCTATGCGCTCAAGACGCAGCGCAACGGAATGCCGTAGGTGGATAGTGAGCGAGTGGACAGGTGCAAATCTGTGCCGTGACGGTGTCTGGGTCTCGCGAGGACGGGAGTTTTGATCGAGAGCCACGCAACGCGGGAGGTTGCGCGATTGGGCATACATGGTCGGAGCGGCCTCATGAGTACAGTAGCCCCGGGAAAATTGGAAATGAGATTTTTTTATTGACCAGCACTAAATAGCTTAAATGTAAGGAAAAACCGTGCAACGTTCCACTTCAGTATACTCGCAAAAACCCGCCGGACCGAAGCTGCCGAATCCGAAAACAAGCTGTTCCAACCCAAAACTCTAAAGCGCTACAAGTATATTGAAAAAGAAGAAAGAACGATGGCAACATTTACGAGTTCTTGGAACCACTATTATCGGCGTCCACGACCTCCGAATCCTTGACGACTGGGAAGGGCACAAGGACTAGGTCAATGTTTCCCCACCACTCACCCCCAAACTTTCTGTACCAATCGACAGTAGCTTTTAACCCCTCAGCGAATGTGGTCTTCTGTACCCAACCTAAATTCTTCAGTTTGGTAGCATCGACGGCATATCTGCGGTCGTTGAATGGACGATCAATGGTGTGCTTGACAAATGAATCAAAGTCCACAGCAGGGTCGCGGCCGAATTGCTTCAGGAGAAGGGCACAGAGCTCAAGGTTGGAAATCTCATCGGTGGAACCGACATTGTAGATTTGCCCGATCAAACCCTTGTGGAGGATGGTATCGAAAGCATCGGCAGCATCACCAGCAAAGAGATAACGACGGGTGTGCTTCCCGTCACCGTGGAGAAGTAGTTTTTCTCCACGGTGGAGGAGGCAGGAGAATTTAGGAATAACCTCTGCACATTGATGACACGCGTTAGAAACCCAAATACGCAGATCCAGGGAGGGATCGTCTTACTCTCCGGGAATTGGTGAGGCCCGTACACATTGTTGCTTCGGACAATGATGACAGGGAGCTTGAAACTCTTGTAGTAGGAGTGCACCAACATTTCCGCAGCTGCCTTACTAGCAGCGTAGGGATTGGTGGGAGCCAGGATGCTCTGCTCAATCAGATCTTCACCGTCCTCATCGACCTCGCCATACACCTCATCCGTGGATATGTGGATGAATCTCTTCAACGAGCCGTGATTCTTGGCGCACTCGAGCAATACGTGAGTACCATAGACGTTGGTCGAAGTAAACTCGTAAGAATTTCCAAACGACAAATCAACATGGGATTGTGCAGCAAAGTGGAAAACCGTATCAATGTTGTATTTACGGAAAGCATTCTGAACTTCCTCGGGAGAAGTGATATCGCCATGGACGAACGTGAAGTTTGGAGCAGTACTCAGACAACGGGTATTGTTCAGAGAAGCACAGTAGTCGAGCTTATCATACGAGATGATGTTGTACTCCGGATAAGTGAGGGTGAGATGGCGTACAAGCCAGCAAGCTCTGATCCATTGTCAGTTCCGAATCGGATGGAAATCTCCGGGATACAAAAACAAAAAAGTAGACAGGAACGAGAGGGTTGACAAACATGAAACCAGCTCCACCAGTAATTAGGATGTTTTTCGCATCCTCGAGAGGAGGGAATTTGGTTGCTCCTTTGTAGACGGGAGCATCCCTCCAGATACCAGTATCCTGAAAGTGACGGTGGGTGACAGCTGGGAAAGGCATCGTCAGAAAAAGCAACCAAAAGGCTGGGAATCCTAAGCTCACATCTGTTAGGTGCCATATTTTTTTACTAGCTAGATAAAGCGGTTTATGTCTTTTTCGGGGAAGAAGAACTGGGTGAAAGCTGATCAAAGAGGTTTAGAACCAGGTTAGCGACGCTTCTTCCTCAACGGAAAAAAGAGGGCTAACCCCTCAAGCAGAGCAACGAAAATCATCACCAAAAGGGCCTCGAAGCTTAAAAATAGGCAGGAGGGAGACTCACCAAGGCGGATATCATACAAGTGGTACAGGAATAGATGAAAGAGAACACCAGTAACCACGATTGAATTGGGGGGTGTTGGGAGAATGCAGAGAAGGATAGGAGAAGAGGATGAGGGGAGAGGGAGTGTAAGAGGAAAGGGAGATAAGTAATTGGAGCAAGGTGGGTAGAAATTTTTTTGCAAAAAAAGGAGGACCCCTCCTTCCGTACCCTTTCCCCCGCGTATCCTAGCTGGATGGAGGGCTCGTACACAATGCTACAAGTATGGGATCGAAGCTGTAGGCGACAGCCTCCTATCACAACCGAGCGGCAGGACAGAGGGGAGAAGGGTTCGAGGAACTCCAGGCATCAGGAACAAGGCCAAGCGAACATCTTGCCCTCAATGAGCTTAGCGCTTATAGATTCGCTGTGCAAGGGCGATTGCACACTCGAGTACGGTGGGGTGGGTGAGCGGTGGACGCCATGAGCTCGACAGCCAACGAGCTCCCAGGTTTCCCATTGAAGCACAAAAAAAGAAGTTAATCTACCAGGAAGGAGGGAAATGAGGAGCAACCCAGCCTGGATATCAGTGCAGCCCGTTGCAGGGGCTGCGGCAATGCGGTCTGTTGGTACAACCAGATGGCCCTGTTCATATCGGGAAGCCTGAGCGGGGTACCGCTATCATTGTCATGGACGCAATGGGAGGATCATGTCATACTGCACTTGAATGGCTATTATCGTTATGCACATCGCCACGGAGGGGCACACATTGGCAATCCTGAGCTATAGCTGAGGCTCATCCGGCGTATAGTGCTTCCCCTGCAGGGGGGAATTATGGCTTTCGCATGATATCGGGATGTGCCCCACCACCGTACTCGCGATTGAAACACGGGTACGAGTTCTGGCCCCACGAAGACGACGAGACAACGTTTCCGGTAGCGCAGGCCAGCACGGGTACCACCACCGTAGTTCTACAAGTACCGGTGCAAGTACTCGAGCACCGCTGCCGTACTTGTACTCGTACGTACTGGTGTTGTGCTCGGGGGCATTGGCCGCTGGTGTCATCTACCCCCCCCTCGACGCGATCTGATCTCCGATAATCTCCTGAGAATCGTTCCCAGCACGAGCATCTCATTATGTAAGCGGCGCGTTCATAATGCCAACCTCCGAAAGCGGGAGGGACTTTGGTTCGTATGCTCCCTTGTCGTAGCTGCCGGCATTAGACTACCGTTACTTCTGAGGGTAGGCACAGTACGAGTACGAGTACGGTACAACACCTTACTCCTGTATTGTACCGCGTGTTCTTCCCGAAATCGCGAGTATCGCATAAAATACGGCAGAGTCTTAATAGTTCTTTTCCCCCATGATTCACCCCCTATGTCCCTGAGAAAAATAACAGGAGTTTGCCATCATGAAATCTCTCTGTGCTTGTCAGTTCTTGTTCCCTCTCCTGGTGTTGGGGAAATTTACTCCGGAGTGAGTCCAGCTCCGTTCAACATTTGTTTGCACCCCGACTAACTCTGATATGCTGGAGCAGGGATCTCCTGAGTGCACCCCGCCGTGGGGAAGCAGTCCCTAATAGATCAGGGGTAAGTTCGGTCACCCATATCTTCGTTCCCATCAATCGACTAATCTTGGACCTGCAATGACAGTCTCTCGCCGTATTTCATGTCTCGTCATACTCCTTCGATTCGCACAGCTCAGCTTCCTCCTGGAACCTTCTAGATCTCGGTAACGGTGACACAACTGTGCTTTTCAGCGGCCCCATAGTACAGGAGGTAGTATGGCTGGACGATGAAAGTCTGTTGTACATTAACGGGACAAACTCGGACATCGAGGGGGGTTCTGAGTTGTGGATTGCTAAATACTCAAAGCCAAGTGAACGGTAACAGCCATACCATCCCGCTCCACAAGGCCTGGGCAAGCCGGCTGACCCCTATTAGATACAAGGCTGCCTCCCTCCCCGCATCCGTGTTGAATCTGAAGACCGTTTCTCCCACCGAGGGATCCGTAAGCTTTGTTGTGTCAGCCCTGACCTACCCCAATGGCACCATATACAACTCCGAGTCCGCCCCCAAGAGATTAGATACTGGTTTGGTTTACGAATCCCTGTTCGTTCGCCATTGGGATGCGTACGATAAGCCTGAGAAGTCGTCTTTGTTCTCCGGCGTCCTCTCACTCGACGGCGATAGGTTCAGGCTTGAAAAGGAGATCAAGAATTTGATGGTGGGCGCTGATGGCACCATTGAGACGCCCATTGCACCCTTTGGGGGCACTGATGATTTTGACATCTCCCCGGATGGTCAAACCGTAGCCTTCGTTTCAAAGACTCCGTATCTCAACCCAGCAAACCATACCCAAGTTTTGGTATATACCGTGCCTTTTGACGGCTCCTCGAAGCCTGAGCCCATCAATCTTGAGGGAAAAGACACGGGCGGGTATCCTCTCCCTGAAGGCGCTGCATCGTTTCCAAAGTTCTCGCCAAACGGCGGTGCATTGGCATATCTTCAGATGTATATGAACGGGTATGAGAGTGACCAGAATAATGTCTTTATCTATAGGATGGATTCTTCGTCTATCACTGCCCTCTGGAAACCATGGGATCGCTCCCCTGGTGGGCTTCTCTGGTCAGGCGACGGCAATACCATCTACCTTACCGCCGAATCATATGGGCGAGTCAGAATTTTTGAAGCACGCATTGACGATGACACGCCAAAAGAGATCACAGCCGAGGGAAATATTGCGGCTTTGCATCTTCTCCCCTCGGGCGACCTCCTCATCTCCCGGAACTCACTCACCTCGTCCATTGGCTACTTTGTCTTTAATCCCTCCTCAAAGCACTTCAAGACCCTACTTCTTCCCACTGACGTGGACCCCCAGCTCACCGACCTGTCCAAAATCACCGTCGAAGACTTCTCCTTCGATGGTGCGGAGACCAAGGTTCATGGTTTTATCGTGAAGCCTTCGGGCTTTGACTCTTCAAAGAAGACTCGACTCGCTTTCCTCATACACGGCGGTCCTCAAGGGGCATGGACAGATTCTTGGAGCACTCGTTGGAATCCTGCCTTATTCGCCGAAGCCGGGTACATTGCAGTTGCCGTAAACCCAACCGGAAGCACGGGATACGGACAAGCTTTCACAGATGCTATTCAGAATCAATGGGGCGGCCTTCCATACATAGATCTCATCAAATCTATGGAGTACTTGGAAAACACGGAAGAATACAACTATATCGACTTTGACAATGCAGTCGCATTGGGCGCAAGCTATGGTGGTTATATGATCAACTATATCCAGGGGATGCCGCTAGGGAAGAAATTCCAAGCCTTGGTATGCTATCACTTATCCCATTCGTCACTGCAGCGCTTACTTATGACAGGTCTGCCACGACGGTTCATTCGCATCCCAAAACATCTACTCAACTGATGAGCTTTACTTTCCCCAACGCGAGGTAATCGACGCTCCATTATCCCCTTTTTTCCACTTCTATATCACTAACCCCACAAAGTTCAATGGCACTCTCTGGGATGACCCCGAGAACTATTCGAAATGGAGCCCATCGGCCCATATCAAGAACTGGGGGACTCCCCAATTTGTGATTCACAATGCGCTTGACTTCCGTCTACCTATCAGCGAAGGCCTATCAGTATTCAATATCTTGCAATCTCTAGGAATCCCCAGCAAGTTTCTTACATTCCCCGATGAAAACCATTGGGTTTTGAAGCCAGAAAACAGCCTGGTTTGGCACAGAGAAGTACTGGAATGGATCAACAGATGGACAGAAGCGAGGGCAAACAGAGGGGCCGCGAAAACGGGCAAGGTTCAAACCGTCCTCAGGGCGCGGGACAAGCTATAAAGCAGGGGAGATGCCCATGTCTTGGTGAAACCTATAGTACAATTACAACACAGCCGATCAATCAATCAGCCAGTAACTCCACAGCCGTTACCCCGTAAACTCCGCATATAGTGATGTTAAAAGGTGATAAAAAGAGAAGCTATCCAACCACCCTCCCAACCATCTTGCCCAAAACCTCCACCTCCAACGCACTAATCCCCAGTGCATCGATCCCCTTCGTCTGGGACCCATCCGCCTTGATCTTGTAATACCTCTTGACCTTTTCAACATCCACAACTCTCCTCGCAACCCCATCCCCATAAGCCTCCATAACACCCTCCTCGCCAATCACCCTCCGAATATTCTCCCCCACCTCCTCCCTCTCGCACCAGTACTCCCCACTCCCATGCGCAATCTTGATAACAATAACGTCCTTCGTCTCCTCCGTGACGCCGAACCTCTTATACGCCTCTTTAATCTACCCCTCATTAGCCCACCCATCCCTCCACCCAACACAGCAGAGCAAAGCAAAGCATACATTATTATTCCCCCCCAAACAATACACGACCTCGCTATGCACATTCCTGGTCCTGCGCTTCCCGCTGACGAGCTCGTTGCGCACGGCCTGGAACACGGCGGCTAGCAGGTGCGTCGTCGAGAGGATCACGCTAGCATCCAGGAATGCGTATTCGCTGGATGGGGGGGAGGTGCTGGAGGTGAGTTCTCGCTGGAAGGTTTTGAACGCGGCGGAGGAGAGGGCGGGGAGGTGGGTTATGTATATCTTGTGAGGTGGGAGGTGTGGGATGGTGTATGTTGTTGTCATTGCGGTGGTCTGTTTGTTTGGTACTTGTGGTGAATCGTGGTGGATTTGTTAGTACTGTAAGTTAGTCTGGTAAATTTACCATACTCGAGTTACTCTCGAGAGGGAGGGATGGAGGGATGGAGGGGTGGTGTGGCTTGGCGGTGGGGTACGCTATCCTAACTATGATAGATTAATGGCTTGGTGGTCACCGAGTATCACTCGGTTTGGGTTTTACTTTTTTGTGCGGTGGTTAAGTTAAGCTCCTATTATAGTTTTGGGGTATGTGTAATATTAACTATGGTGGACCGTAGGAACTATGGTACTCGCTCCGGGACAGTTGAAAGTTGGGCCTCACGCTAATTAGGACCTCTGTTTTACCCCCCCTCTTTGGGTAAAAGCGGGGGAACTCGATTAGTCTATAATATTCCAGATCTTTGCAGGTGGGAGGTTGGGGGTTTCGTATAAAGTCGCTTTTGTGCACACTTGTTTCTATGTATGATATCCACACCACCAACGCCGCCCCATCCCATCCCGACGGTTCCCCCAAATTGGGCCGGAATATCGTATCTGTACGTAGGAGCGCAGCTATTCTGGGAAGCGTACAGTGCACGTGAAGTTGCAATACGAGCAATGTAGCCCAGTCGAGGGCTTCTCGGCAGCGTTCATGCAAAACCCCTGCAGATATCAATCTATCCTCCCCACTTCTCAATCCCCAACCTGTCGCATACCATGTGCAGGAGCTTTCTCACCGCGGGTAGTGCCCCCGCCCCCGCCCGAACTCTCCGTGTTTTAGAATGAGTCACCAAGTATGGGGTACTTACCCCACATTTAAACTCCCCTTTTTCCCCCCACAATAGAGTTCGACAGACTCGATATAAAGAGCCCCAAGTGCGGACCTCTGCGATCAACCTGGTTCAGCAGATCCAGTCCGCACAGCCTACAATTGTTCAATTTCCAAATCCACAATGGCCCAATCGACGAGCACCACCAAAGACCACTGGTCTTCCAAGGCCTATACTAAGGAAGTAGCGCCCTTCGTCGCAGAGCTCACGACAGAAGTCGTCTCTCTTCTCGACCCTCAACCAACCGGTACCTCTCCCTCCCCCTACCCTCTTTCGTCTCACCCAGCAGACTAACCCCGGTAGACAAAATCCTCGACGTAGGTTGCGGTGACGGCGTCCTAACGGCGCGTCTCTCCCAACGCTGCTCGTCGATCCACGGCATCGACAGTTCCGAAAACATGTTATCCAGCGCGAGGGCCCACTACTCAACTCCAAACACCACCTACACCCACCTCGACGCCACCCACCTCCCCCTCCCGACAACCTCCATAATCCTTCCACCACAAACCTTCACAAAGATCTTTTCCAACGCCGCGCTCCACTGGATCCTCTGCGTGCCACCCCCCCAGCGCATCGCAATCCTAAAATCCCTCCACAGCCTCCTCGTCCCCTCCGGAACTTTCGCGGCCGAATTCGGCGCCCACGGTACCTGCGCGGAGGTCCACGCCGCCCTGATCGCCGCACTCGTGCATCGGGGTGTTGCGGTAGAAGTGGTGCGCGAGGCGTGTCCGTGGTGGTTCCCGACGGGGGAGGAGGTCCGGAAGTTGTGGAGCGAGGCGGGGTTCGTCGTCGAAAACTTGCAGGTGAAACTTCGGCAGACGGAGCTACCGCAGGGGGATGTTGGGGGGTGGGTGAGGCTGTTTGGGAATAAATTTTTGGAGCTGGTAAACGAGGGGGAGAGGGAGGAGGTTATAAGGGAGGTTGTGAGTGTGCTCGAGAGCGTTGGCCGGGTGGGCGACGGTAGCGGTGTCTTTAGGATTAATTATATCAGATGTAGGATTTTGGCGAGGAGGGGAGTGTGAGTGTGAGTGCTTTTTTTTCTTTTTTTTTTCCTCGCCGCTTTGGTTACGGTACTACCGGCAGTTCTGAACAAGTTAAATTATGGAAGACACCAGGTAAGGTCAAGGGTGTTTAGAAAATAGAACTTGTCAATCAAACCCCTGTGACGCAGCGGTTAGCGTGTCGTTCTTATACAGAGTATTCTCCCAATTGGGAGAACTTGTATGCTAGGTTATGCGAAAGTCGTGAGTTCGAATCTCACCCGGGGTACTTTTTTTTGCTTTTTATTTTATCCTCCTCGTGGGGTGGGAGGAAGGGGTGCGCTGGGGGTACCGCATGGGATTTCGTTGGTTTGAGTCGACTTGTTTTTTTTTTTCCTTCCTCCTCTTCCCTGGGAGAGGCGGTTACTTCGTACAGCTGCCCACATCCGTCAAGTTCTCATGCCATTCCATTCCACCTATCATATAATACATACACGAATGAACGAACGAACGAACGATGCCGTCCGTACCTTACAGGTATTATCTATTATAATGATGACAACAATGGGACAATAAGAAAGAAAGAAAGAGCCTTTTAAATGACTGTTTTTCCGGATGATTGGACCGGGGGTTGTAAATTCCCATTGTGATTTATTTCGTTGAATACTGGTAACGGGGAGAGAGGGCAAGAGGAGCGTCTCCAAGGGCTAGCTACTAGTAGTACTGATTGTCTATGGATAGATAGGCTGGTGTCTCGAAGCACGGCACTGTAAAAGCCACTGACGTTGGGTGGGAGAGCACAGCAAGGGATAAGTTAGCTGTGGTCCGAAATAGGAATTCAACTGTTGTAGGGTACCGGTACTGTACATGAATGAATGAATGGCGTAGGGATGACAAGATCTATGATAACGCCCTAGCAAAACTGCAAAGTAAAACTACGGTACACTGTATAATAAAAAAAAGGTTCCTAGCCGTGCAGATCCTCCTCGAGGCCTGGACACCCCTCCATCTGCTCATCAGGATATTGGTACTTGCACCAGAAGCAGTACCTGTGCTTGCTCCTCAGATACTCCACGATCCGCTCCAATCTCTCTTTAACCCCCAAGGCGTCGAACCCCGCCAACTCCTCATCTTCATCAATCTCGTCCTCAGCTCCATCCTCCACCGTCATGCCTAACTTGCGAACCCTGCCGGGCGCAATCCCGAGCGCCACTTTGTCTTCATGGTCCAGTTCATGGTCCCTATCATAGCCCGGTAACCTGGGAGAATCTAGACTCTGCAACATCTCGTATTTCATCTTCCTCGCGCGCTCCTTCTCCTCACGAGCTTTAACCAGGCCGCGCCAGAAGACGTTGATGCTTTTCAAGGGTACACTCCGCTGGGCGCTACCCCCGAGACCATCCCCGGTATCCTCAAACTTCTCGCAAACCTTCTGTGCACCGCAGAATTGGGCCTCCATTCTTGCTTCCTCGGCTTCAATCCTGACTCGCTCTCTGTACTCCTCGGGACTCAACTGCTCAGCACCAAAACCAGCCGCAGCATCCTTCATCTTGTCGCTAGTAGCTTTCTCAAGACCGATCCCACCACGGTCCGACTTCACGTGAACACCGATAGGTTCTAACCTCGCCTCATCCATGCCATTATCCCACTGCTTCCTACCGAGCCCACTGCCGGGAGTGAAGCCCATCCTCTTCATCATTTTCAAACCCTTGTTCGTACCAGCGCTCTGGTGCGAGAGAAGGCTTTTGGCGAGTGCTTCGTCGCGCTTCTGCTTCTCGATGCGTGCAAGCTCGGTTTTGGACTTTGGCTGTGCGAGTTCGGCGGCACGTTGCTTGCGCTTCAGACGCTCTGTGTAGGATTCTGGTCCCGTCGGGGTTGGGTCCGGTATTGTCATGTTCATGTAGTCATCTTCTTCATCTTCTTCAGGAGCGGGCACCGACGGTGGGAGTTCAGAGGGGGGCTGTTTTGGCGGGGTATGGGAGGAAGCGGGGGAGGAGGGGGATGGTGTGAGTTTGTGGTGCTGGCGCTTCGGTGGGGGTGGGCTTGTGGGCGAAGAGGGGGAGAGGTTTAATGGTGCACCACGCTTCAGGGACATGCTGGGGGTGGCAGGTTGTTTAGAGCAGTGTAAGATGTTGCGTAAAGCTTGGCTGGGGAGGTTGCTTTGCCTAGAGATGTATCATAGTAGTATGTTGTCTGTTGGGATGGAGGAGCAGGGAGCACTCAAATCAAGAGGTCTTGTTTGCTCCGGGGAATAACTAGGGTTAAGATGCGGCTCTTTGTTGGTCTGTATGGGGACGTCAGTGCCAAGATTTAAGGGTTACACCAACCGTTCAAGTTTTTGAGATGTAGGCTCGCGGCTCCACGGAAGTTGTTGAGAAATCCTGAAGAAAGTGACGATACATCTTTGGGGCCGAATTGGAGACCCTGCCTCACCGAGCTGTGATGGTGGCTTATATAGAATACCGACCGTATCCTTGACAGTGGAGACGGTACAAGTCTGAAATAGTCCAGAACCTGGACTGCATTCTTCACAAAACCGGTCAAACGATCCCATAACCGGCACCTCTCCTGCTCTTGGGATCCCCGACCCTGTAGTAACCTCCCTATGGTAAATTCGCCATCCCCCCCCAATTCCCCATTCACACGCCAAGGACAGGGTAATGCTGACCCTCTCCCCCATTTAGGCTCCCCGTTTTAAGCTCATCCGACCAACCAACGACCAAAACAACTACAATGACGACCTCTCTCCGGGCCCGTGGCCAAGCCCAACGGAACCTCCGCCGTCTGTTCGAAAACCTCACCCGGCTCCGCAAAGACCGTCCCTCCACCCTAACGGAAATCCCCATTCCCGGCACACGACCCAAGAGAAAGCCCAAAGCCCCCCGCTCACAAGCACTCAAGAACCCACCGCCGCCTGTGATACCGAATTTGGCACGACCGCTGGTGTTGAACCGGTCGATCGATGGGGCGCCGGCGGTGGAGCAGAAGATCAGGAAGTGGGAAAGTGTGGAGGAAATTCAGAACGCAGTTCTGGGTGAAGGGGAAGGTAGAGGAAAGGGAGTTGACGTGAGAATATTTGAACAGGCGGTGAGAGGGCGGGTAGATATGGTTGATTGGAGGAGGGTGGGGGAGCTCGCACATATGGAGGGGCATGTCCTGAAGAGGCTAGAGAGGGCGCTGTTGCTGCTAGAGAGAAACCCAGCTGCGCTCAAGAAGGAGATATTTTACTGGCTTGGGAGGGCGAGGGCTGCGCCATCGGTGTTGAAATCGCTGACAGGGTATGCTTGGAGGACTATATGGGCCCTGGAAACCGACGAGATACCTACTTCCCGGAGTAAGCTTGTGGGGGACCTCATGATCGCAGCGCAAGTCCCGCTATCGGAAGAACAGGAAATTGCCTATATCGGTGGTCTATTCTGGAACGATGCCCGGGCTCAAGCTATGGAGCGGTGGCACAACAGGGTTAGAGCCGAGCCAGCGTCAAGAGCCTTTTGGAATTTGGGAGTGCGGTTGCTCGCCCTGGATCTGAACCCCGAGGTTGCGTACTTTACTATTCAGAGGATGGATGAGCACCATGTGCCCGTTGACTACAGGGACTACATCCCCGTCATCATGGCATACAATCACATCGGCCAGCCAATGAAAGCGCAGGAGGTGTACAAGAGGATGAAAAAGTGCGCCTACGAGAAAGGTGACACGATCAAAACCAAGGCATACGACGACATCTCTATGTCCTTCCTGGACGCTGGAGAGACGGACAGGAGCCTCTCAATATACAGAGAGATGATATTCGCCGGAAACAAGCCCCTCGAGCAAATCCATAACGACGCAATGGGGAGACTGGCCGCGGCGGAGGGGCGGCTGCCGGGGGACAAACTACAAGATGACCTCCAAGAGCTAAGTCTAGCAGATATGTCCCTCGAAGAGCTCAGGAAGCTCCCCCACAAGAAATGGGACCAGTATTTTATCGAGGGCTGGATGCAGAGTCTTTTAAGGATGGGGAGAGCAGACCTAGTGTACATCCTCACCACCAGCGAGCTACCAAAACGTGGGTTTCCAACGGACAGCGTACACTTCAATTGGGTGATCAAAGGCTTCCTGGATGAAGGTAGCATAGAAATGGCAGAATACGTGGCTCAGGCAATGATTTATGAGGCAATGAAGCACGCCCAATCCAAAGCCAGCCACCCTCTCAAACCAGGGACTAGCGGAGAGCAAGGACGAGAAGGCCCAGCACTGCCCCCACCATCCCCACCACCAGCAGAGCAGGGGGGTGGCGAGGGAATGAACCTCGTAACAGCCCCATCAGCAACCATCTACACCTTCTCCCATCTAATTCTTTATTTTTCCCGACGCCAACGTATGGAGCGAGTAGCCGCCTACAGCAGTCTCATCTCGCAATGCGGTCTTCAGCCAAACTCCTTCATATACAACCACATCCTATACTCCCTCTACCGCCTGCACCTTCACGACCGCTTCGACAAGGCTCTCGCATCAATGCTAGGAACCCCCCATCCAAATCTCCACCCAGACGTAGAAACCTGGCAAATTGTCTGGGCAGCGCACCGCCGTCGCCTAACACTACTCCGAAACACAACACCGGACCGCCATCGTCACCTATTCCGAGAAATGATCCGCACCCTCCCGCCCCAGAGCAAGGACGAGCACGAGGCGGTGCAGGGCATGTGGCAAAAAATTGTGAAATGCTTTGTCATTGTGCAGGACTTCCAAGGACTGCTCATTGCCCTTCACGCCGGCGTCAAAATCTGGGGTGTCGAGCTGGATAACACGATCCTACGCGAGGTCACCATTGGCGTACTCAGGACGCGGAGGAAATTCATCCCCGATCCCGCGAATCCGGGAAGAGTGGTGAGGACGATTGTCGGTAAGGAGAGTGTGGACGCTTCTGTGGCATACCTGATCACGCAGGGGCTCAGGCTCCTGGAGAGGAAGAGGAGAGCGGTCACCGTCGGAGGAATGGGGAGGAGGAGGGTGCTGGAGGGAAATCTAAGCAGCGTTTCAGAACTACTCACGGGCGAGTCAATCTATCAACCGGGTTACACTCCCGGCGACTTTCTAGCAAGAGCCAAAGTGGCAAAGAGAGAACTCGGAGTCGAGGGATTGTTAATAGAATGGTAACACGATGCAAACCGCACACAAATTCCAGCATGTCCCATTTAAAATATCGTAGAATAAAGGAATTGAGGAATTAAAAAAAATAATCTTACCACCACAACCACCATCCCCTCCACACATACTCGAGTACAATACCCGTCACCAAACTCGGAAACACCCCAGCATAACCATACCATCCCTCCCTCCCCCCTACGCCGACGCCACCCACCATCCACGAGTGATCTCCGGTGCTAACGGTGCGCAACGAAGACCGCATCGATATGATGATAGTCCACACTAGTATACCATCCCACTCAAGATTTGTTATTTAAAAAGGAAAAAAAAAGAAGCCCGGAGTGAGTATTAGGGTCGATTATCTATCTATCTATCCGTTCACAGCTGTGACGGATAGATGGATGGATGGATATTGCGGGGGTCCGAGTACGAGTAGATGGTTCAATATAAATAAATAAACATATATATTTCGTGTATGATAGGATGAGCTTTCAGGTGTTTTTTTTTTTTCGTTATTATATAATGGCTCCTTTAGAGTTTTGATATGGTTTGATTGGGGGGTAACTTATATAATGTTTTTGGTTTGGGAGTGTATAGTATCAGTGAATTATGATATCTATGATGTATATGATATCCCGCGCCCATTCATCCCGTAATGAACTTTCTATTCTATCCTATTACGCCGCACGCGCACATGCATACACCAATTGACGGACCATCTAACTTAGACCAATCCTTCGAATCCCCTTCTAAGACACATAGCCCACCCCGCGACCCCCCTCTCCCTCACCATAAACCCGACGATCGCCTCCCTCGCCTCCTTCTTCCCACTCCCATCCCCGCCTCCGTCCCACCGTGATAATATGCCCACGACCTCACCCCGCTGCCCGGCGCTCATGCTTGGCAACGCCTTCAGCACCTTCTCCTTCAGCTGCAGCCGCTGCGCATCCGGAATTGTGGACTGCGCGCTGAAGAGTTTTTCGATCAGGAGTTCCGGTGGAGTCTCCGAGTCCGATGATGAGGATGGGAGTGGTGGTGGCTGGGTGGGTTGTGGGTGAGGGGATACGGAACGGGAGGCAGAGGCGGAGTAGGGTTTTGGCAGGAGGGAGGCCGGGAGGTCGTTCCAGTGGTGGGTTATGGGGCCGGATTGGTGGGAGGAGGGCCGGGGGGGTGGAGTTGGTGTTGGTGTTGGTGTTAGGTGGGGCTGGGATTCGGTACCGGTAGTGGTGGTGGGTTGATACATTCCTTCGGCGTTTTTGTTTTTCTTTCTTTCTTTATTCAATTCTTGGAGGTTTGTGTAGAAGTGATGATATAATGTATATTCAATCCCGGATTTGAGTGAGACTCGAAAGTTGAGCTGGGGAGGGAGAGAGGGGAGGAAGGAAGAGAGAACATCTTTTCAGGAGTCGCAAGTAACTCTACAGCTTAAGCTACAGCACTCAAGTCTTGGCAGGCACAAGCTATATATATATACACCGGCAGTTCACAGCACCAGAAATCCACAGGCCGGCAGCTTTTGCTCCATCATACCGTATAGCATCCACGAGCACCAAAGCATTCAAGAAAAATCTAAATCAGCCGTACAGTACAGTATGATACCAGTTGACGCAGTCGGTCGTAGAAAGAAAAGAAAAGAAAAGCTCAACAATAGCGCAATGGGGAAGAAGAAATAGCATATTCTCGAAACTTAAGTTAACCCAAAAGGAATCACAAAGTTTGAATACCGGTAAAAGTATCGTGTCTATATTGTGCCAGAAACCGCACTTTCACACCCACTTTCATACCCCCAAACACCCCGGGCCTGTCCGCAGTAAAAAAAATCACATTTATGATACAGCATGGCACTTACCACACACACATCTACAATACCATGCCATGCGCCTCTCCCCCCTCCCCGTTACAGGGCGAATCATGCCACAACACGCGAGTGAGCGCCCATGCCCGTGCCCCGCCAATAGATAAGTTAATTTTAAGAGCTATTTTGAATTCAAATCATTACTACATAACTGGTGTCGCAAAGTATGGGGGGTTTGTGAACTAGAGGAAGGAAGGAAGGGCAGAATAAGGACGCAAGATGGTTAGGAATGCAATGGAATGGGAGAAACGGTATTAGAAATAGACTCCCGGGGAAAATTGACAGATAAACGGGCAGTGCTATATGAGGTTTAAAGGAAGAGGAGAGAGTAAGAAAACTTCCATGTCCAAACTACAATAGACTGGAATATTATCGTTGTGATGGACAAACAGATGGAACAAAGGTCAACTGCGATGATAACCAGAAATACCCAATCCATCCATCCCATCTCGCCACCCATCACGGTACGAGTACAGCACAGCAGATCGGAGCAGCAGAGCAAGAGTAAAAAAAGAACTTCACATATCACATACACTACCACTACCAGTTCAGACAATCGAACAGAGAAGAAAGCAGACACAGAGCGAAAAAAAATGCTTTCCACTACAAGAGTTGAACTATAAAAATAAAAAAAGAATAAAGTATGATAGAAGAACTCCCCAGACAAGTGGAAAAAAGTGAAAGAAAAATAATGACCCACAACACGAACATATACCGGCACTATTAGAGGAAAGACATTGTTCCCCCCCTCCGGTACAGTTTTTTAATCAGTCAATCAATCGAATAGCCTGCCTCACTGCGTTTGAGAGAGGTAAAAAAAAAAACTACACATTTTTTGTTTTTGTTTTTCCTTTCTGCCCCTCTCCTCCAGAGATATATCGTTGTCTGCTGTTCACCTTTGTTTTTCCCATCTGTGCTTCTGTTTAATGCCATACCGTTATATCAACCCTTCCCCCCCCTTTTTTCCCGGTATTTTGGTCTCTCTCTCGTTCCCTGTTGCTCAGTAGTAGTGGTTGTCGTTGTTCCAGGGCGATAGTAGTTATAATTGTTTTTTTTGTTTTTTTGTCCCGCTCAAAGAGTACCCGTTTCGCCTGTCATCCAACAGCCGGCCCGGTAAATTGAATGTGGACAAAAAAAAAAAAAAAAGCTTAAATGAGCTAAAATGAGATGCCCTCCGTTCCATAACAAAAAGGAAAGGGGGAAAAAAAAGGAAAAAAGGAAAAAAAGAGCAATTTTATTTCCCACCCTTCCCTTACCCCGAAAGAATTTTTCAAAACAAAAAAACACATGATCTAAGCGATGAGATAGATAATGTGCTTTAAGCAGTTGCAGTTTCAGCCTTCGCCGCGGGAACCTCGTCACCGGCTTTAGTAGTGGCATCGGCGGAGTCTGCATCCTTGGTTGGGGTCAATTGGACACTGACATCGACAATTTTCTTCTTCTCACTGGCTTTGGACTCGCCCCCGGATTCCTTGTCATCTTTCATTTCAACATCGTCGTCACCCTTGACACCATTCTCCCTTTCAACGGCCGGAGAAGAGGTATCAGGGACCTTGTCTGCAAGAATCCTATCCCATTTTTCCAATAGTGTCAGGGCGCGCTTACGGAATCTATACTCGTTGTCTTTAGGGATGAAATCGAGCTTCACGATAGCTTTGAGGACCTTATTAATTTTGGTCGTCTAGAGCACCGTCACCATGTCAGTATAATTAATATTTTTCTTCTTCTACCGCGCTCTAGGTAGACTAACACGAATGGAATCACCATCAATATCGGTATGCCCTTCGAGAACGCCAAAGTATTTATCCATGGCTGGCATGTCCTGTACATAACATATAATTAGATGTTGCTTGCTGGAAGACGTGAACATGAACCGGGAAAATGACTTACATCGGCAATGGGCATCTTGCCTTTACTAAGGAAACCACGTTGCATTCTGTGCCTGAGATATAGTATCTCTTTGGTCCTCTTTTCACCATTGCCGCCCTTCTTCCCACTCGCCTTGGGAGCGGAATCGGAGTCGGAGTCAACTACACGATCTGTGCTCTTTGTAGCCTTCTTGCGTGGAGCTGGTGATTTCCTATCATCCTTCGCTTGGCTCTTCTTCGCGCTCTTACCACTAGTCTTGGATTTCGCAGTTCCGTTTGACGGAGTCTTGGCCCCTTTGGCAGTCTGAGGAGTCTTGGCCTGTGATTTTTTAGGGGTCTTCGCAGAGGGAGTCTTCTTGGGAGTCTTTGCCGGCTTGTCAGGAAGGGTCTCATCCTCATCATCAGAAACAGAATCCGACTTCTTGCGCTTCTTATTCGGAGCCTTCTTGGCCGATTTCTTCTGCTTAGGTGACTCCTCCTCCTCCTCCTCCTCCTCCGACTCATCATCGCCCTCTTCTACCTCAAGATCATCATCGACCTCGGGAGATCCTTCCGCCCCTACACCTTCTTCCAGCCCGACAGCCCCCTCTTCGACGCTAAAATCATCAACCTCCATCTCTATAGAATCTTGATACGATTTGACATCGTCTAGATTCAAGCCATTCTGAGCAACAGACCAGGCCTCCTGGAGAGGCTTGTTCTTTGAACTCTTTGGTGCATTGGCCAGCTTTTCATCATCGAGTGGCTCCAAGTTGCTGATACTCATCCAGGAACTGCGTAGAAGGAGATTTACATACGTTAGCCCGTAATCACCAAAAAAGGTGCGCCAGGTATCAAACGGCAAACGGTAATAACAAAGACAATGAAACGAGTGAAAATATTTAGCAAACACAATTGAGCGACAAACCAGTGTTCCGAGAGAAGATGCGATTGCCGAGAATGAAAATGAAAAAAAGCAATTAACTTCAAAAGGAAATAGTAAACTTACTACTCGTTTGTACCCATAAACATAACAGGCCAGCTTGTCGGAGCGGAAGGGGCGACCGAAGCCGAGGCCTCGCCTTTCTTTCCGGATTTTCCACTCGGTTTTGTCCTCAATAATGCCTCCGGCAGCAGATCGTCGCTCAAGATGATGGCGGGCCAAGGAGGGAAAGTTCTCATTTTGGCAAGAACGTTCATCCCGGGTTGGTAATCCACATCGGCAGCAGCTTTCTTGGTAGATCTAGGCGTCTTCCCTTTCAGATTGCCGGAGGACTTCTTCTTGGTTGGCTTGGGAGTAGTGGTTGCTCCTCCTTTGCGTTGTCTAGCAGACTTTCTGGAAGGGTCAGCGGAATCATTTTCCGCCCCTTCGACCTTTTCTCCCTCATCCCCAGAACCAGTGGCGATATTCTCTCCCCCTTTGGCTGCCTGTTTATCAGCTTTGCTTCGGTCGCCCTTGGGCGCGTCCGTAGTGTTGTCATCGACTGCAGTCTTGGGCTCAAGCTTGGTCGCAGAGCCTTCATCAACATCCATCTTATCTCCACCGTCTTGTCCAGACTCGGTATTAGCTTGATCAGTATTTTTGGGCTTATCGACTTGCGCGTCTTTCCCCGTAGCAGGAGAGGTAACACTTTTCTCTTCGGTAGCGCCGACAGTATTCTCCTTGGGAGAGAGTGATGGCGTGCCGTTGGCCATGCTGAATCAGGGTATTAAGAATTTGGTTAGACGCGTAGATGAGGGAGTTAATTGGTTATGAGCAAATTTGTGGGGTAGTAGTTGTTGTGATTATCAGAGAGGGAGGAGGGAGGGAAATTAAAAATGAAGGTATGTTATGGTTGTTGCGGGCGGGAGAAGGGAAGGGGAGCAGAGCAGGACGAAGGGAAGGAGAGGGAAGGGACGTGTGGTGGTCGAGGTGGTTGTGATGGTGTGAAGCAGGAAGGGTGTGTGGTTGAGGACGAGGGTTACAGGACGAGGGTTGTGATGTGGTAATGGGTGGTTGTCGAAGGAACAAAACCTCGCCCAAGTCCCAAGTCCCAACCTAGGGATGGATGCGCGCCCTGGAAACCAGAAGAGAAAAATAATAATAATTATTATTATTATGGGGAACACGCCGAACAGGGCAGGAACAGGAAAATTTTGCGGATTTGTCGGTTTGGCAGACGAAAGAAAAGAAAATTAGGAAAGAAGCGAAAAAATTGTAGATTTCTGGAATCGGGAGTGTTGATTGAAACCAAAAGCGTTTAAAGTGGAAGGGAAAAAGGCTGGGTCCTTTCGCCGGGTTTGTGGAGGAGGCATAGATGGACGGTCAGAATTTTTGATCGCGGATGGATGATGGGTGAATCGGAAGGGCCAGCCCTGGTTGGGTGATTGATGAAGAAAAAGAAAAGGTGAACCGCTATCTTCCCTGCTTCTTTTTTGTGCCTCCTTCGTTCCTTACCATAGAAACCTGTCTGGAGTAGAGAGGCAGAGGGACAAGATCGACATCAGAAGCCACCGATGGCTTACAATTGGAGGCTTATAATTCGGGAAGGTGTAGTCCCGGTAGTTGCTGCCAAAATACTACGGGAGAAAAAAAAAAATACTTATGGTAAAGGCTTTCACACATTCTCGCCACAGAAATCCGCCTTCGTGATTCAGCACAGGACTCCCACAATCTCCGCTCCTCTATCTGTCCTTTACGAAAAAGACATCGTAGGGTGTCACGATATAGAGTAGAGATCACTACCACAATGATACCCTACTGCACCGGCAGAATACTCCCATTCATAGCTATCCACAATTAACAGGCCGTAAGACACACCGTCCCCATGAGGATAACCACCCTCTAAAATATATACAGTCACCAATAATCCCTCCCCGCCCAAAGAGCCACAACAGTACTATGGTCCAAAGTACAGTGTTGTGCGGGAATAGCCATCCAGGCCCAGGCCTCGACCCTCGACAAAATGCCTTTAGGGCAAAGCACGACCACCACCACCACCCAAAAGCTGCGATATCAAGAGCGCCAACCCCGGAGAAAACGTGACAGGAACTAGGCACAACAAGGAAAGCATCCATCCAAACAACAAAACCAAATCAAAGTCAAGGGGAAATAAACTCAGTTAGCCAACCAAATAGGTTTATGCATCCGGTTGTGAGAACAATACTTTTTTAGTTTATCTTAGCCGTGCGCAGAGTCCGAGAACCCCATTCTGTCAGTCATTATTTTGTGTTTTTTTTTCTTTCTTTTTTCCTGTCACTACCCACGCGGTACCGTATCTCTCATTCCCCAAAATCGGATGATCCCACTGTACTCGAGTACTCGTTCACCCGTTGGGATCCCTTTATGCCTTCCTCCACCAGTCCTCGTCGCCCCCCTCCTTGTCCACTGCATAGATCTGCGCTCCCTCGGCTTCATAATCCCTGCTAGGCTTATGCACTCTCAAGAGATAATACACCCAGTCTTCCAAGACGAGAAGATTATATAATACACTGTTAATCTGCCATCCTAGTAGCGCCACGAAGAGACCAGCCACAGCATCAAGGATGTAATGATTGGCTGTCGCAATGATTGCCACAAGAATAGTCAATGGATATGATATCCCAAAAATGATGAGTAAGATTCTCCTTCGTAGGTTATTCGCATGAAGTGACAATGAAGGGGGCATAGTGGCGATGGTTAACCCTATCACAAACGAGTATCCGAAGTGAAGTGATGGCATGGCCGCTAGGTACCAAAATTGATTCCGTTAGCATATTCACGTTTTCCGAAACATAGATTATCAGGGGATGGATGAGGAACGAAAAGCGAGGGGAGGGGGCATATATACCCAATTGATTGCAGAACCTGTTTGTCGTCCACACGCTTGCCACCTTTCCCGTATGTACAGTATCGATAAACCCAAAGCCGTCCTCCTCGGAAAGTAGGCGAGGAGGCATACATGGCCATGCAGTGAATATGACAAACGCTATGAGGTTGCAAACTGCCAGAGCTCGTCTCCTAGACTCGAACAGCGAAGCTGGCGCGTAATGGTATAACCATGCGATGAAGGTAATTGTCCCTGGGATATGGATAAACGAATATATGCGATTAATGGCAGTAAGCAGAACAGACCGGGGCAAAAAGTATCCCTGAATCGCTGGTTCCAGAAAGATACCCAGCTTCTGCTCAAGCCTAACTAGCGATAGAGCATGTAGACGTGCTTGCACAACGGTATCAGACTTGAGGGTAACCGCAGTAAATGCTCTCCCAAGTTGGTATGTCTAACAAGCCAATTGATAAGTTCAACTCATTGATTCAAGGGAAGTAAAGAGGAAGAAAAACGTTGGTGCTCACCCAATAAACCAGCAACCAATACCATACTTCTACCAGAAACGGGAACTTCCTCAGCAGTCTGGATACGAGTGTACGCTTCCACCGTGCAGTGTTCCGGCTCTGGACCTTCCTCCCGAAGAATTTTCTCTCCCGGTATTGCGGTTCCAGTATCGGGGAGGACAGCAGTCCCTCCGAAGACGATGACGAAGTTGGCGACCAAGTACCGTTATTTTGAGGGGTTCGTTGCCGGTTGAGTATTACCCCGGCGGAGAGGATTGAGAACACAATCAAAGGCTCAAGATAGGCGTCCGCAAACATTCTCTACGGGAGGAAAGCTGCAGGTTTCTTTCTGGTTTACGTTTTCCGAGTTCCACCCACGACCGCCCTATCCTTTATGAAGAAACTATCTTTGCTCTCCCGGCTAGAATAAGAAAATGAAAAAAGAAAAAGAAAAAAAGGCTCGATAAATTTTTCCAGAAAAGATATGTCGTCCAAGAGATGCCGGACAAATACCGGTACACCACCGTAAATCGATACCACACGCAGGGGGTTAAATCAGAGACCAACAAGCTTTGGTGATGTGAACGCTACCGATACGCATGGGGATCAAGAGCGATGCGGTAGCCAGCCTCGTGTGTAAGTACCAAATTCCAAATAGCCAAAGGGAAGGAGAATAAAGAGCAAGAGGCGTAGGAGGGTCCATGGAATGAGGGGGGAGGGGGCAGTACTTTAGATAGAGCCCACCCAACTGTACTCACCACCCACCGCACACAAATTCCAATGGAAGCGAATAACGCGGGGTGCTCCCAGATTTCTCGTAAACAGCAGCTCGGTCGGAGAGAATGTTCACAGGAATTCCCGTGAGCATTCATGAGTAAGACCCCGCTAGGCTCTCCATGCCCCAAGGCCGCTCCACCCCCCCCCACCAAAGTCACGCAACCAAATCCACCAGTGAGAACGCTGCACGAGATCAGCCTCCCCATGACAATTCCTCTCAGTGTTGTGAGTGTCGTCACCGGTGCCGGAAATTTAGGGTTCCGCACGGCCAGTAACGCGCCAAGAGTGTTGAACCAGAGATATGACCTTGCATACTCCGGACTTAACGGTACGGTTACACTGCTGACCGAGAGACATGAGGAACAAAGAAAAGACAAAGCATAAAGCGGAACACGTTCTTTACGGCACAGTACTGTAATCCATCACACTCAAATGTGTAAATTTTGCCATGGGGTCCTAGCAAGTGGATCCCTGACCGAACCTCAAGAGCACTGAAAGGGGAAAGAATAAAAAGACTACAATCACCGTATCGACCGCCATACCGGTACCGCATTGTCAACACACAGCCCATGGTGGTCGGGAGCGGTCAGAGACCCGTCAGATCAGGAGGGGTTATTCTGATTCGGTGTTGAAATACGAACCGGGGCATCTGCTGGCAACGGCGCATATAAAGCCCGAATGCTTCGTTCGATTTGTCAGCAGTGAACTCCAAAGATTAGTCGACTGCCCGACCTTCTGTCACACTGCCATGCCTAGCACATCTATTCGCCATCCCCTTCCATCCCTTCGGCGATTGGCACCGCACTGCCCTTCAGGGCTCCTTCCCTCAAGCTGCCCACCCCTGGGTTCACGAAAGAACAGTTCCGCCAGGGCACGTCTTGGAGGGTACCGTAGGCTACCGGTTTTGACGGGGTTCACGACCGGGTATCTCCGCAACCACAAAGCACAGCAGGCCTGCCGCAGTACTCGTACAGTACTCGAGTACGGTACTGTACAAGTCGGCTGCAGTACCGGTAAGCTGTGATCGCCGGCGGCGTTTCCACGTTTACTGACACGGTAAATTTCACCCTCTCGCTGCACGCCTCCTTGCTGATTAATTCGGAAGCAAGAGTCAACAGCCCGAGACTAATCCGTAATTCTGTCACCAGTATTCGAGTACCGGTAGTCTACCGGTATAGTGCTCGTACAGTACGTAGGTGTAAGACTATGGATGTGGAGGGGCGCAAGAGAGGAATCGTCCAGACCAAATTGACCCGGATACAAGGCCAACTCCGTGCATAACTGGGCCTGTTACCGGTAATCTGAGCCCCCCGAAGCGCAAAACTCGCGACAACAACCTCTGAGGCGATCTAAAAAAGGGGGGTACTGTAGAGAAAAGGAAAATACCTGGGGCGCGTGACATCCTGACCTGGGCTTTATGGCACAGAGCCGCATTACGGCAGGGAAACTCCAAGACCTTACCGGTACAGTACCGTACGAGTAATCCACAAGTAGAAAAAGGGAATCCAATCCAGCGAATGGAACATAACTAACCACCACTTGCCCACCCATTCCAATTATTATATCCACTCCCCAGACCCCAACGTCTACTCGAGTAGTCCCCGGGCCAAATCCTTCCGAATCCAAAGGGTCAAGCTTAGGACAAACAAACCCCAGATATCACGCAGCACAGCGAACCCAAGACGCGCGCGATCTCGGTACAGGGTGAACGTGAGATGTGGTGCCGCTGACAGACTCGCCACATACCGCCGTACCGTATCGTACGGGATCGCGTTTGGCACGCGTACCCCAAGGTATCGGAGTGGATCCGACATGTTGGTGGAATTTTCAACAAGGAGAAAGGAATCTCTCCAGCGAGGGAAGGTGACGGACGATTTCTTATACTCGAGTAGTACCGTCGGACCCAATTCCGTTGCGCTATCACGCATAATATCATAAAAACATCGCGCGTGGCTGGTGGCGGTGGAATGGACCCGTATCGTACAAGTACCCGCCCCACGCCCGAGGTGTGCAGCCCGGCACTGGGGTTTCCGGGTTTCGTCTGACGTTGGAAATTTTCCGAAAGGTGGTGTTTCGGGACTCAAAAGAAAAAAAAAATAGTTTACGATATCTCCATAGATCTTCAATCATTGGATAGGGATGTGGGTTTCATCTGTGTGCGGAGCGAGGAGGCGATACACTCTGATAGGGGTCGTTGGTGAACGCATTGTTTGTCACTCGGTTTATGATTTTGAGTTTAGGTCAGTGTGAAATTTGGCACATTATGGAGCCGGGGTGGTATCATCATACGGCTCATACCTGTAGACCACAGTCGCACCCCGTTGTCCCGGACGGCCAAAATCCTGAGAATCCGTCCGGGACAGCGAGTTATCCGGGACAACATGTTTGGTTTTGGTGTGAAGAAATTTATAATTCATAGAAATTCATCCGGAACAGCGAAGAATCCGGGAGAGCGAGGTCCGGGACAACGGGGTGCGACTGTATAGGGGCTCGCGGGGGGTTTGACGAAATCCGGGAATGTGGTGCTCGTGCCCTAACTTGCGGGGCTCGCGAGTCACGACTACTGTACTCGAGTACACACTGAGCGACGGGAAAAGTGTAGAGCCAAATACCGGTACAGTACCGACACCAACCCACAGCCGACAAATGGCTTGTCCGAAACTCTGCAGGCACCCATACCGGTAAATTGCGGTATGGTTCCGGACACTGCCAATCGACACCAGTGTTAATTGGCTGTCGCTTACTAATCGGTGATAACCTTCCTAATTGGGTTAGGTTATCTTACAAAGTGAAATGATCGGCGAAATATATTACCTCATTAGGAATGATACTGCCAAGATATTACCCGATACAGTAATTTTGAGTTGTGTTAATTTGGCACCACCTCTACTAAAAATGGAAATCTTTAAGCTGCCCTAGCACAGCAGGCAGCTCATATTTCCTCAAATCCCTCTGTAATTCTTTAGACAACCATCAAGTAAAGCCTTTTACAGAAGCTTTTGCACTTTTGAACTGTTATTGTTGACTTAGAGGAGTTTGAAGTTGGTCATATTTGGAGCTCGCTAAGGTGTTGATTGGCAGTGTCCGGAATTATACTGGTACTCGAGTATAGACTATACTCAAAAGGATGTCCCATGACCCAAGCACCCGCCGGTTATCGGTGCTCGGACTGCCGCCAAGGGAATGGTGGTGCTCCTGGAGCTAAGATTTGAACTGTCGGGCCAGCAAGCTTTCCAATGTTAAACACATCTCAAGCGGAAGGATTCGTTGCATTGAAAGGGGAATTCCCGGGGACAATCCGACCCATCGAAGGTAGACACCAATCCAGAGCAATTGAACCTCCTTCTGGAATTAAGGGGAAAGGATCGCGATCTGCAAATGGTAAGTCATGACTACCATACAAGGTAGGACATGATACTATGATACTGGTATCATGCCCCACCAGGTATACCCTATCAGGGGGAACCTCTCAGCATTCCAAACATGCAACCAGCTAAGAGCACACCACACCTCCACGAACCCCAAGAGCCCCTAGAGCCCCATCACCCCCAAAACCAGGTAATCCGATCACGTGACACTGCAGCTGCGACCAATCGTTGAACCTCCGTTCGGACACCAAGCTCTTCCATCTCACCTCGCACTACTCGTATTATACCGTAATCCTTCCCTACTCGCTCACTGGCAACCCAAATACTGTATCCCCCTTCCAGCCAACCAGCCAGCGGACAAGCAAGCAAGAAAATACATCTCCACAGACCACCGGCTAATGCTAAACAATCCGACAAACTCCCCTTAATCGATTGATGAGATAAAAAAAACCGCCGATCCAACATGGCGCAATACTTCCTGGACCTGGTCTACTCCCTCACCACCTGCATGTCCTGCTTCCCCTCGTCGCCGAACTTGACCATAAACCACCGATCCTTCAAGATCCTGCGATTACTCGGCGAGGGCGGGTTCAGCTATGTCTATCTGGTACAGGATAACGCAGGGGATTTATACGCTCTCAAGAAGATTCGCTGTACTTGCTACCCCCTCCACCTCTAGCAAACGTGACTGACAGGACGCCTATCAAGGCCCCTTCGGCCAGGAATCCGTCCAACGCGCCATGAAAGAAGTTGAAGCATACAAACTCTTCAACCACGAAAACGTGATAAAATCCATCGACTACACAATCACTAGCGACCGCTCGGCAAGCACGACCCTGGGCCGCAGCGACGATGGCGACGACGGATCGCAGAAGACGGTATATATATTGCTACCGTACTTCCGCCGAGGAAATCTACAGGATGCCATCAACGCGAACCTGATCAACCACACTATATTCCCAGAGGGCAAACTAATGCGGCTATTTCTGGGCGTGTGTCGGGGACTACAAGCCTTGCACGAGCACCGTTTGAAGCGGCCCGGCGAGGTTCGTGCCGGTGCTGGCACCGGCGCAGCAGCAGGAGGAGGAGGATCGGATGAGACCATAGAACCCCTAATGACCCCCGATGTCCTTGCCGCCCACGAGGGCGGCCAAGAAGGTGACATAAGAGCATACGCCCACCGCGACATAAAGCCCGGAAACGTAATGATCGACGACGACGGCCTCCGTCCGATACTAATGGATTTCGGCTCCATGACACCAGCGCCCACGCCGATAACATCCCGCACATTAGCCCTCTCAGTGCAGGACAACGCTGCCGAGCACTCTACAATGCCGTACCGTGCACCAGAACTCTTCGACGTTAAGACTGGCTCCGTCATCGACGAGAAGGTCGATATCTGGTCCATGGGCTGCACCCTCTACTGCGCGCTCTACGGGCACTCCCCATTCGAATTGGCTACCGAAGAGTCCGGCGGGAGCCTTGCTCTCGCGGTGTGCTCGGGGTCGTATACCTTCCCCGAAGAAGGAAGGTTAGGCGGGAGGAAGCCGGGACAGATACCTGTTAGTGAGGGGGTCAAGGAGATTATTAGGATGTGCTTGAAGGTCGAGCCCGCGGACAGGCCGAATATTAGGGAGTTGATTAGGGAGGTGGAGAAGGTTATTGAGACGTCGGGGGATGATGAGGAGTGACCTTTTTCTTCTTCTTTTTTCCTTTCTTCTCATTTTCCTTTTGTCATTTTCCTCTTCGTTGATGGAGAGGGTGGGAGAAGGGGGTACGGTAGCTTTTGTTATAACAGAAAAAGAAAAACTTGCCTTTATTCTATTTTAAAGTTTGCCACGGTATCATACTCGACTTGATCCATTCTGTCATGTCTGTTTTTGTTGTTTGCGGGTTGGGTAGGCTGGCTGACCGTTTTGGGGTCTATCGATTCAATCAATCTTTCACAATATGGGCGCAGATTTAGGAAAAACGATGAAAATTGTATGCCATACAATTTTTCTCTATTTTTCCAAAAATGCGCCCATATACTAAACGTGTCCATAGAAAATCACTCGAAAGGCCAACCTTCCTTCCTAAAGGAAAATGGAAAAGGTGGGGAAAAAGGCACCATTCGGCACCACATAAAATCTAGCATGCGTGCGAGCAATATACATCACCTCGCAGCATTTCATATCGTATCGAACAATCCGGCCCAATAACCAACAGATACAAATACACGCCGTCTTACTCCTCCACTTGCCCACCGCCCGCCCCCAAGTTCCCTCATCCCCGACAAAAAATGAGGAATGAACACCCCCAGGTATAAAATTGTCTTGATATTGATTTAATAACTCGTGACCCGCACTACCCCTGATGCAACTTCTTAACCCTCATACCGCCTTCATACAATCCCCGATCAATCGCCGCGGCAACCGTGAGCGTTCCACCGATGATGGCGCACACACCGGTCAAGAAACCCGTGAAGGATCTAGCGCGGACCTCGCGGTTGATGACTTTCATTGGGGAGATGTCCTATTGTTCGTGTTAGCTACCGGATACCGGCTACGGGAGGTTGTGGGGGGGGAGGGGGGGGATATATACGTAAGAGAAGAAAACGCCCGGAACCCCACCACGGGCGTGGATGGTGCTCGCATGCTCCTTATCCGCGCCGCCCATTAGCGAGCGTTTATGGCTGGTCACGGAGTACTGGTGCGTCTCTATCGCGCCGGGGGCGTAAGGTTTCTCCGAAACGCCGAGGGGGAGGTAACTTGTTGAGACGACCTTGATGAAGTACATGAAGTTGAAGCTGCGTTCCTGGGCGAGCTGTGTCGAGTCGTCGAGGGGGTTACGGTGGACTTTGACGCTGGCAGGGAGGTCCGGGCCGAAGGAGAGGTGGTGGATGGTGTGTGTGAAGGTGTGCTCCTTCGGGCTGGCAAAGTATTGGTTGAGGTCGTGCACATGCATTTGTGCGCTTGAGAAGGATTTTCCGGGCGCAATGTGGAAGTTGCCGATCACCTTGTTGACGCTCAGGTGCCCGGCTATGTTGCATCCCTCCTCGCGCATCTCGTCGAGGCGCTCGGCGTAGTGTTCCCGTTCGCACTGCTCCACTCCCTCTCCCTTCCCGAAGGCCCAGCCGATGGATGCATACGCCTCGCGCACGTCTTCGCAGGTTTGGCAGCAGCCATTGCTCTTCTCAGGGGCCGGGGCACCGTAGCATTTTCCGCAGTAGTCTGGGTCGAGATGGGGTGCCGTGTCCTCGTGGACGTTCAGGGAGGTGGTGGAGACCGGCTTGGATTCTGGGAAGGGGGTTAGGCGAGTCAGGTGGATCCCGTGGGTTATTGAGGATTGCTGCTCGCCGGAGACGTCCATTACGTCCAGGGTCAGAAGCTCGCAGGGGATGTGGGGGAATGTTATGTTGAGGCTTATGGGGAGTTGCTGTCACGGGCCATTAGCGATTGGCATCCTTTCGTATTCTCGGAGGTTGTGAGAGAGGGAGTTGAGGGGTGACATGATATGACGAAAAAGGTGGACCAACCTCCCCACGAGTCTTGTCGACAACCAACTCCGGGAGCACCTGAATCCGCCGGTACTCCCGAAATTCACCAATCACCAGAATGAACACAACGCACAAACTGACGAGAGTAACTATTCCTCCAGAGGTGGTCCGGACACGGGCATCCTCCACCGTCTTGGTGAAGGCATCCAGACGGGTAAGCCGTGAGCCTCGCCCCATTTCGAATTCCGGGGGAAGGGGGCAAAATGGGAAAATGTTGCTACAGTATCCAGGGGCGAGAGCGAGTGAAGAAGCGAAAGCGGTGGAGAGGGGGGAGTAGGAAAAGGGCCTGCTATGGATTGCGGGGAGAAGGTGTGGAGAGAGATGGAAAGTTGGGATACGGGCGGATTTGCTGCGGTTTGGCGCGAAGAGGCCACAGTTGTCTCGAGGGACGAAAGTCCAGGGGATAATCCCTGCCATTTGCCCTTACTCGAGCTTGTGCAACACGAGGTTCTCCTACAGGAAGACTGCCGAAACACTCGAACATTTATTGGTATGATACACCCGGTCGTTGTCTGAGATGCGAATTAATAAGCAACTCTTGTTCCAGCATTGCTAATATTAGCCATATGATCTCGTCTACGCTCATCATTGCCCAAGAGTGCTGAGGCAGTGCCCTGGTCGTCTCTGTCTTGGACGCGGGCAGGGGTGACAGTAAATTCCCGAATGCTGTAGCGGTCCAGGAGATGGTGCGAGTATATACTGGTACTCGTTTTTGTTCGGGATTTCTTTGTGCATTGGTGCTTTAGAAATTTAGCGGAGAACCATTACCGTACACTATCTTACCGGTGGTGTGGCATCGCGCTCTGGTAGCTTGAAGGTGATGATATGATACAAACAAAGCGCAGTGCTCTGGAAGGTGTGCCGCGATGGAAAACAGAGTGATTTTGAGTGATTTGGGCGCCCTGCTCAAGCAACAAGCTGGCCATAGAAGCCGATAGTTTGTTCGGGGGGGATGAATTGTCGAACATGTTTGGATTCCTGTACCGCTCTGGAATAGGGTAGCCAAGGCATTTCGCTGAGTATTTTCTTCTTCTTTCCCCTTTCCTTCCGCCGTACTCGTACTCTCTTTTTCGAAGCTCCAACTGGTCAAGGATGGACGCTCTCCGGGGTTCTTCCCGTGTACGGGTGCTTGAGATGGCCGGCACAGGATCGCTGTTTTTTTGACCGCATCTTCCAAGCCACGAACACCCATTTCTGCTCCAGGTTAACCGTTCGAGAGACTCTAGCCAGCATCGTTAGTGGTTGAATTACTGTTTCCGGTGTTGCACAATTGTAGGGTGGATTCGGGATTCAATATCCCCCCGGTCATGTCATTGGCCGTCTCAACGTGCACTATCCACCGGTAGCTGTATCATACTCGAGTATGATTCTGGTACAGTCTGATCGGCACAAGATGGTGTTGAGTGTTGAGGTTTTCCTGGTTTCCACCGCTCAGCGTTGCCAAGGCTCGCCTACGCCAACTCGAGTTGAGGCTCTACTGTAGGTGTGCTACCCGCAGGTGGCAGGATCTCCGCAGGGATCTAGATTGCCTTCTTCATTGGCAGCGGTGGCCGATGTATTGCTCTTGTGGATGATACAAGGCTCTTCACCGCCGGCCCGCCCCGTCGCATCTTGCTTCAAGGGCGGAGTCGTTGGGGGGCTCGCCGAAATGCCGGTGCGGGGGTCGGTTGTGCATTACCTGAGGGGGGGTTTAAAAAAAGAGGGCCTGAGTCGTGCAGGAATACAGTGTGGCACGACAGCGGATTCATCTCTTCGCCGTGTGTCTTCTATATCACCACCCCAGAATTGGGGGGGCTGGGCGTGCGGGGTTCTGCGGGTACGGCATGATATCGGTGTGATCCGGAGCTACGGGGGGAATTGGGTCATGGAGCAGGCTTTGGGATCCGTTCGGTGGATCATGGCACATCTCCTTTGTGCATTCTGGCACCATTCGAGGCGGGAATAATCAGGCGTCACGGCGGATGCAGCAGAAGCCCTGTGCAACTATGGACTTGAACAGAACAGCACGGTGACTACTGGCAGTGCCTGCAATATGCGGTTGCATTTAGAAATCGTTTCACGGAATGCAGGAGGCTGATTGGCAAAGGTGGGGCAATCATACCAGGTTTGGTACTTCTCCACCGCTTTTGGCACGATACATAATAGAACGGGGAAACTCGATGGAATCCAAAAAAACGCGGGCATTTCGAGAGCCCTATCACATCTAGTTACGGTATCACATCTAGTTACGGTATCACATCTAGTTACGGCAGTACGGTGGAGCTCTGGAGTCCCATTTGGGTTTTTTGAGGGGGATTGTGGGGTTCAGCACGGTTCATGGGCTTTTTTTCTCTTTGGTCTCAGTGCCAGATGGATCAGCTTTTGTCCTGAGAAAATAAACAAATAGATAAATTAGATAGAAATCAGATGGGCCTGGCTCTCTAGGCTATACTCTAAAGGGAATTGTGTAACAGTCTTGGCCAACTCGATTAACCTAAACAGGATACGTGAAAGCTGTATTGGCTTTGTTTGTCCTGGATTTAGGTCTTGGCATGCCCTGGTTTCAAATTCAAGAGGGGAGTCACACATACAATCAGGGTTAGCTGGGATACGCCAAGACATTTATCCGGCACAGCGATGGATGTGTCTTCTTTCCCTTCCTTCTGCCTCTGCCTCTTCCTTCATCCTTCATCCACCACCACCACCAGCACTGACGCTCTCCTCTCTTCGGGACGAAGACCTCCACCAAAAATAAATAAAAATAATACCAAAGCACTGAAAACCAGTCCCCCTCTCTGCTCCGCTTTCTCACCCCATCACTGCCCGTCTCTCCCAGAGTCCTTTTCGCTCTGCTCTTCCATCTTTGTCACGAGCACCAACCGACCCGTTGGGGATTGAGATCGTCAACTCTCTGCAAGGTATGTGGCTCCTGCCCGCCCCCCCTTTTTTGACTCACACCTTCGGGGAGCGAAAGTAAAAGACAATCGGCTGCTGGCTGTTGCGCAAAAATGAAGACGTGGGGCGGTTTTTCTCTTATCGCTCCCACATCGCTTGCTGCACCTAGTCCACCCTTCGACGTCCGTCCAGCATTTGGGAGAGTCTTTTTTAGTCATCATGAGTTTTGCTGATTTTAGGAGTCATCCCATATCCACCCACCTCGGGCCTTACCGTTTACAGACGGTATACGGATATTTCGAAGAAGAGAAAAATAGCCTAAAAAAACACTCCTGAAAGAGGCCGCGTTTTCTTTTCTTTTCCCCCTGACTTGTGTGGTACGGCCGTCGTTCAAACGAAGGTCCGTACTCACTGAACATCCACAAAAAACAAAAACCCTTAAAGAACTACAAATATTCAGATTGCAATGAATTCTACTGCTCTTCGCCCTCAGGGGTCTCATGGTGGTATCACCAAACGCGTTGGTGGTCGTGCTCGAGTTGACAGAGATGGAGATCTTGATATGGATGGTCATGGTCCTTCTGGAGGACGCGGTGGCCGTGGCCGAGGAAATAGAAATAGGGGTGGTCGTGGTGGTGGTGGCGGGGCCGGTGCTGTTTCTAGAGGAGGGCGGTCGGGTGCTGGTTCTATTATCCCCGCCGGTCCTGCTGCCGGCCGCACAGATCTGGGCCCGAACAGGGGTAGGGGGATACCAACGAGAGGTTCTCGGAATGGAACGGTATCCGTTTCCGAGACACTCGTTGAGGTTAGAATCACTGGGTGGAAGGACAGCAAGGGTTCTGCGGAGGAGGCAATCGCTTTCCTGGAGAGGAAGAGCCGAATAAAACTTCGAAAGGTGAGATATACCATTCGTCCCCACGGGGTCCGTACTGCTCCGTTCTTCTCGATGTATTCTATGTTGTCATTCCAGACTTTTCTTGGTTCCGAGATATGCTTTTCTTGTTATAGTTGCGTGTGGTTCATCTTGTACTACTACGTTTATTTGGGAGGGTGGGGGAGGTTTGGGGATTGGGCTGGGCTTCGATCTGGAGATTCTCAACAATCTTCGGGAGGACCGCTCTACGATGTGTTCGGATACGGAAGATGTCCCCACTCTTGGCGCGAAACTAAGCCAAAGAAACCACGCAAAATGGACCAAGATTTGACTGCCGATACTTGCAACTGGACAACTATTTATTTCCCCTTTTTGTTGAGAGTTGAAAGAAATTTTGGAAGAAGAGAGGAAAAACCAATGCTAAGTACCGTTTTTCTGGGGCCAATTTAGACCTTAAAGCAAGGAGACACCATCATCGCTCAGGTCCCCTTCCCAAAGATTCACTCGATTCTAGAGTGGAATGACGCTCAGTTTGCATCTTCTAAGCTGAGGCTGGCCGCGCCTAGTCTCGGCCGGCTCGACGTTACAGAGAGGAGTGAGGCGGTTATCTCCCGCGCCAATCCAGCGAATAAGGATACCGTGGACACGATCCAAACCCTTGAGGGCGTTCTTGCGAATCGGTACAGCCCCGAAGCCAAATTCCTGGACCTATCGCGGCTCGGTGAGGACGTGCTCTTGAGGGCGAACGGCTTCTTCCAACTCAGCAGCACAACCAGCAAGATGTTCCCAGCGCTCATGCAAGTAGCTGAAAAGAAGTTCACGACGGCGCAGCAAAAGCGTGACACAGTCCACAGCGTATCGCTAGCGCACAACAACCTAAAGGACGTCCGCGCCGTCACGAGTCTGAGCGTAACATTTCCGGACTTGAAGAACTTGAGTCTGGAAGGCAACTCCATCGGGGACTGGAAAACGCTGGACAATTGGCGCCACAGGTTCAAGAACTTGGAGCAGTTGGTTCTCAGCGGAAACCCGATCACGTCGCAGCAGGGCTACGTGGAAGAGGCCTACCGGCGGTACCCGAAACTTTTGTTGTTGGACAACATGCCTGTGGACCCTGTGATCAGACAAAAAATCATGGCGGAGAGCGCAGCGCCAGCAACCGTCCCAACGGGCCCCGACGGCCGTCCTATCCTCCCGCGTAAGGTCCAGCCAAGATTCATCCAGGATGACTACGGCGTCGGCATGAAGTTCCTTTCCCGCTTCTTCGAAACCTACGACGCGGACCGGGCCTCACTGCTCCGCGAGTTCTACGACGCCGAATCCCTCTTCTCCCTCTCGGTCAACACGTCCGCGCCACGCACTCAGGAGCAGCAACACACCCGCCAGTTCTGGGACGAGTACATCCCAAAATCGCGCAATCTGAAGCGGGTCTCGCACTCGAAGGGCCGCACCGACAGACTCGCTATGGGACCCGACGAGATTGCTGGGTTGTGGAGCGAGTTGCCTACCACTAAGCATGACCTTGCAAATAACGACGCCTGGAGCTTCGACATTTGGCCCGTGGAGGTCACGCCCGGCGTGATGGGCGTGCTTTGTACCGTACACGCCGAGTTCCAGGAACTCAATAAGGTAGATGGCCCGCAGAAGATTGTCCGCCGGAGCTTCGACCGCTCGTTCATGCTGCGACCAGACGTGCTCGGTGAGGTTAAGGTGGCCAACGACATGTTGGTGGTCAGGGCCTATGGCGGCTTCGATAGCTGGAAGCCGGAGGATGGGAGTGGGAGCGCTGGAGGCGGCGGAGGAGGGCAGGAAGGAGAGGCGGCGAAGAACTCTATGTGTGAGCAGTTGATGGCGCAGACCGGGCTGAGACTGGACTGGGCTACCATGTGTCTTTCGGAGACAGGGTGGAATATCGACAATGCCTGGAAGGCGTTTTTGGAGGCTAAAGTTTGTTCCATTCTACATCCCCCCCTCCTTATATTCCCCATGGGAATCTTGGACTGACAAGTCACAGGCCAACGGCGCGATCCCTCAAGATGCATATTTATCCGGCACTACTACCACCGCTCCCGCCACTGCTATTGGCGTGAATACTGTGGGCGGCCGAGATGGGCTATTATAGGACGGATCGGTCGGATCTCTTTTCTTATCATTCATGTGTCAGAACCATTGTACAAAAGTCACGTACGACTACAACTTTTATTTCCTTCTTGCGCATTTTCATGTGTTGGGTCGGCTGGCTTGGGGATGGGCTCTCGTTATTTCATTCATACATTGATATTCAAGTACTGTACAGTACCATACGTCTTTATATATCTCTCTTTTTTTCTTTTTCCTTTTTTGTCTTTTCTTTCTTGCTATATGATTGTCTGCCTGTCTGTCTGTCTGCCTGTCTTAATTAACGTATCTTGCCCGATCACAATTGATGGATGGGGGGGAATGTTATAGGGATGGGATTGGATTGGATTGGAGTATCGTTTCCGTCACCGTCGTTGCTACTATTATTATTATTAAACCGGCATTACCAAAGTTCGTTAGACTGGTTCGAGTCTTTATAATTTTTTTTTATAATTTTTTTTATATTGATCATTGCAGTGGATAAGGGTTGGGGTTATTCGCTGTGGGTAGTGAAATAAAACTATGATCATTTCAATTCACCCTTAACCTCCTCCTGCACCCCCTCTTTCGTTTCCAACTTGACCAACGAGATCCTAAAAGCCGGCAACTTGACCCCCACGACGCCAGCCTCCCCCTCTGAGAGAAAGACAAACTCGGAAACACTCTGCCCGGCGTACGCCCAAGTGTCGATATTGGTGAAACAAGCCCTGCTCCAAACCGTCTCCTCCTTCTCTTCATGAGGGATGAAATTCACGCTCATCCTCCAAGCACTTCCAATTCCCGTCGGGAACAATCTAAGCTCCACCTCCCCCGGTGTGGGCATGCCAGCATAGTCGTGATAAAAGCTTGCGAAAAAGGCATTCATGTCAGTGCCGTTGCTAATGAAAGTTTCTACCCCCAGGCCCGGAAGATTTGGAGCCGTGGTTAGCGTTATGGTGGTGTTGATGCCCGTGGTGGGTAGGGCGGAGTAGGTTCCCGTGAATTTCGTCGTTGTCTGCGAAAGGGCGTGGGTGTGCGCCCAGGGTATTAGCTGCGAGATGATGGTATCCCGGAGGTAGCGGTTGGCGGCGGCGGCACCGGATACCAGAACGTTTGCTGCGAGGGCGTAGTCTGGGAGGATGATGGTGGTGGAGGGGTAGCCTGCAAGTGAGCCGCCTTTTGTTATCACGGGAACCACGTGCCCGTCGGGCGCTAGGGTATTGGAAAAGACTACTTCCCAGGGCGTGCCGTATCCGCTCCAGGGACTGCCGGTGCTGCTACCGCCCCTCAGCCACCCGTTCATCCGCCCCCGGGTCATCCCGATGCCGCCTAGGCCGGCCCCGTGGTTGAGCAGGCCGCGGAGGAATTTGCTGAGGTCTGTGGAACTGGCGTAGAGCCCTCCCGCAGCGTTCTTGATGCCTTCGTCCCAGCGCCAGTCGTTGCGTTGATATGGTATTATGCCGGAGGAGTCGCGAGGTTTTTGGAAGGTGGAGGTGAGGTTCAGGGGTGTTAGGATATTTTCTTGAACGAGCTTTTCGAAAGGCATCCCTGTGTGGCGCTCGAGAGAGAGGGAGAGGAGCATGAAGCCTGCGTTGCAGTAGGTTGCCGTTGTCTGTGGGGGGTAGATTGGGCGGCGGGCGGAGAAGTCGGAGATGAATTCTGGAGGTCACATTAAGTTGGAGGGGAGGGAGCGATAGTGGGAGGGTGGGAATACGTTTCCAAGTACATTGCACGTCGCCCCCTGTTATCCCACAGGGAGGACCAGCGGATCTGGGCAATGGCGGGAAGCCATGGGATACGGGGTCTTTGAGCAAGTCCCCCTCGTCACCATGTCCGAAAAGGTCAAACGCAGCATCTGCGAGTGCAAATCAGTGACCGAGCCATCTTCTCCAACCACCCACCAATCATCGCAAATTGATTAGGAGAAGGAAGGAAGGAAGAACCCACACTCCCTAACAATCCCCGCCAAATGTCCTCCCAAAGATCCCAGCGTAACATCCCCCCACTCAACGCCCCCCTCCCCATCCGCCAATTCGGGAATGTATTTCAGGACCCCATCATCAAGACTCATACCCTCCGTCAGCAGCACCGCCAGAACTGTGAATACCTTGGTATTGCTCGCAATGCGGAAGTACGTATCCCCCGTGACATCGCTCGGCTCCCCATCCCGGTACTCCCCAAGTATCTCTGCAGTGTGGTAAGCCGAGAATATAGTCTTTTCGGCCGTGGTTACTTGCACGGCGTAGGAGGTTATGTTTGCCGGCCATGGGGCCTCTGCGCTCGTTGGGAGTTTAATGTCTGGCGGTGGGAGTAGGGCGTAGTCCGGTGCTGGGAAAGTTGCGCCGGGGGGGTAACATTTTGCTGCGATTGTGGGGAGGTGAGGGAGGAGGAAGGTGAGGAGGAGGAGGTTAGTGTGGGAATACATTGTGCTGGCGGGGGTTTGGAAGAAGTGGTGGAGCGGTGAGCTCCGGTGGGGAAACGGGTATATGGATGGTATGGTGGTATAGAAGTGGACTGGACGGTTTTTCGAGTGGGTTGGATTCGAGGGTGTAAGTGGCTTGGCGCGGGTAGTTATCGATAAGGTGATTGTGATATGTAAATTTACAGCACTGTACCATACTCGTGCCGGTCGGGGGAAGACTTGGACTAACTTACCAGCCTGTGAAAAAGTTGTCGAAATCCAGATTTCGATGCCACAACCCAAAGGCTTGATTTTCTGGAGAAGAAGGAGGGAATTACTAAACATTCCGCTTCAAGTAGGAGCCGAAAGCATGAAGTCATCCTGGTGATATGGGCAGATATTTCAATCGGGTCAGAAATAAACAACTGTACCGGTATATCATGTAGAAAAACGGAATTTCTATTATGTACTGGGCTCGAGTAGATCTGTGCTATATTGTGAACGGGCATTTCCTGGTCTTCCCCCCCACCCTCGTTGACCTACGGTATGATATATACGATGCAGTGCGATTCATGCGCCCATGCTTCTCTCTGGGAGAGGTATACCACGCACCCGACGGCCGTCACCCATCCACCCATCCAGAACTGCGTGATGTGGAGCGAGTGATGGACGATTGCGCCGTTTACACACCTTGCCTCTGGGATCGTATCATACGAAATATTAGTTATAGTTGTCACTCGGTTGTTTGACGGCCTTGGATGTTGAAGGGAAGGGATGGGTATATGTTATGGTGTAGCATTTATTCGCTTGCAGGGGGTTTCATGTATTTAAGGAATCTGTGTCGTCGAGGGGTCGCTTCTGCACCAAGAATCTTAGGGGATGAGGCCTGGCTGATGGCCATTTCATTTGAATTCGTGAGAATGGAAGGGATAAGCTTCACCCATTCGAGGGTGGAATGGGAGGAGGGGTATATAAGGGGAAGTAGAGCACGGGAAGTGGAGATGACAGAAGTGTGGAGGAGTGGGTGACTACGTTGAAGTAGAGTTTAGATTGATCTCCTGTCGGGAAGGCACGAGATTCTGCGAGTCGCATTGCATTAGTAAATTGCTTCCTCGAGTATTTACAAGTAGTTGCGGATGATACTGCCTTTCGAGTTTGTTAGGCTCCATATCTGTGGGTTAATCTCCCCTTCCTCGGCGTTGCCTTTTTGAGGATAACCTAGGCTGGTATCCGGGCATGTGGGTTTCCAATATTATTATGTGGGATACCGGTATTGCTACACTGGACCGATATGTTCGTGAAGAGAACTGGCGCGATGGCGGGGGGCTAGGAGTCCGGGGTAATTATTATGCGGCCCCACTTCCTGCTGGGGGTACAGTTGATTTGGCTTCCTCTACCGTTCTTTAGTCATCAATTTTGGGGTAGAAATCAGTCTCTGTACGAGTATGGTGCAGCTGGCGTCGTATTTTCACTTTTCTCAAGGACCGCTAGGGCTATCATTGTTGGCGGAATATACTCCTTCATTCGCTTGTTGGATATGTCGTTCCTCTCGGTGTAAGATTTGGTCAGTACTATCGATAAGCAGTGCTCTGGAGGTGGGGCGGTCAGGGTGGGGGGGTGTCCAAATTCCTCCTCTGTAACACCAACAAAAAGGCTTTCAAGTTGCGGTTAAAAATCGAGGTGCAGTATCATAAAAGTGTGATTTACTTCAACCCCATGTGGTACTGTACGGTAGGAACACGGACTACTGCTGATTAGCTTGTGGTGGAATTACTGGCATATAAATTCTTCCTCTTCCCCCCGGGTCTCCCCCAGATAGACTACTCTATCGTACCGTAGCAACCTTTTCCAGTCCACAATAGTCGTATCTGTTCCGAGGCACGGTAGTCTAGCTAATGACATCCATTTCTCTGACACATTCGCCGTAGGGAGTGCAAGCCCGTGCGGTTGGCGCTAGCGGATGGCTGTGTGGCGGCGATCCACTGACCACCCAAACGTCAGGTTATCATAACCCAGCGAAACGGGGTTGTGACATTGCTTCGTAGGGTGGCTTTCCGGGGTAGCGGGGTAGCGGGAATCCAATAGTCTATCGGTAAGGGAACGGGACGGCGAGGTGGTTGGAAGTAGACTGCGGTCTAGGCCTGCGGTAAGCTTTCCTGAGGCTAGCAAACGAGAGCTTGTGCTTTGAATACTGAAAGGCGCTGTGATAGAGATTGGGGGTTTGCCAATCAAAGGGTTTGAGTTAGAGCCTCACGGATTGATGAACTTGGCAGCGGTTGGGGATGTCCGCGAGGGATACTCGAGTTCAATTTTGCCATATGTGCTAAAACCGATAATTGATACCAATGATATCTGTATGAGCGCATCGACAAAAGAGTCGCTTCATCAATTGTATCCAAAGGTGTCTTGTCCCGATCCCTCTCGTGTGAAATGACGGCAGACAACCCAATTCTCCGGCAAAACTATTCTCCGAAAGATAAGGGATCTCAACCAATCATCACCGATCAGATAACCTAAAGTAAGCGCCCTCACTAAACCCATTGATTAATGCGAATTACGGAAAGCAAACGGAGCAGGTTTGTCCTCCCTCCATCTCTTGTAATGCAGCGTGAAATCACTCGTAGAATTGATCGAGATCAGCTGCTCAAGGTCCTCGAGTACTTTCCTGCTTTCCGAAAACGGTGATCACAAGGGCATGAGAAGATTTTTCAAAAGGTCGGTTGCCATAGTAGACTGGACGATCCCGCTGCAGTGTGACTTCAACTGCGGGTTTTTTGGGGGGCATTTCGAGATGGGAGTCCCTTTTTCTCGACTTGAAGGATTTGTGGAGGAATGCTGGCGGTGGGCTTCGCTCAATTGGGGGTCAGGGGGGGTTGCTAGCAATTGAGGTATCGCATACTTGTTTGTTGCTTTGGGGGGCGTGGAAAATTCTTTATACGGTATCGTGGGGGGATTCTACTCGTACCGGGGAGCCAGTTATCAATCGGGCTCAATTGATGAGAAAAAAGCTATCCCTGATTGCTTTTCGGTTCTGGGTCCGGAAGCTGTATCGCAAGATGGAAACGGACGAGATACGTTTTTGGAAGGGTTTCTAAGTCAGGTTCTGGATAGGCTGTAGTATTTTAAACTTCAAAGGGGTGAGTATGGCTTGTCCCTGGGTCAATTCTGGCACGGTACTGTACCAGTATTGCACCTCACCTGCCGTCACAGTATCGGAGGGGCAGAATCCTCCCCTCGCTGGTTTCCCCGGCCCGCATCAATTCTTGGTGGGGAAAAAGAAAACCAGGGAAAAAAAACTTTACGGCAGAGTCACAACAGGGCCAGATAATTCTCCTCCTTCCCTTCTCTCTTTTTTCCCCCATCACTCCTCCCGCTTCCGACCTTCCTTCCTTCCCCCAGCTCAGTTTGCAACCCGCCCCCCCACAGTGCCGTTGATAGGTGATAAACGGGAGAAAGAAAGGGCGAAGGAAAAAAAAAAAAAACGTCATTCAGAAATCGAAGCGAGTCTTCTCATTCTCCCCCTCTCTTCTCGGTCGTCGGTCGTTTCTTTTGCACTTCACTGGTGATGGCTCTTCCCCGCGGCCTCACAGTGCGAGCATTGCGACCTTCTCTGAGGGCGTTCTGTCCTAAGCCAACGAGGTATTTATCTTCGCTGCCGAGACTCCTTTCTACACCCCCAGCGACGGGCAATTCGGCAAAGGCCATCGCCAATTCGCAGCGATGGGCATCGATACAGCAAGCCCGTACATTCTCTTCTACCCGAAAATTATTTGAGTCACAGGAGGCTCCGTCGGCGCAAGCGTACCTGGCTTCGGGCGTAATTGCTGGCGGGAGGGATCTGGTGGACGTTACCACAGTACTGGTTATCGGTAGTGGGGGGCTGAGTATTGGGCAGGCAGGAGAATTTGATTATTCAGGTAAGGGAACGCTCATTTTTTTTTTCGGGGGTGAGTCATAGGATGTCAATCGCTCACGGAGGGGTTTCTCGCTTAGGTTCCCAGGCTATCAAGGCTCTGAAGGAGGCTGGGAAGAAGTCAATTCTGATCAATCCTAATATTGCGACTATCCAGACCTCGCATTTCCTTGCGGATGAGGTTTATTATTTGCCTGTCACACCCGAATATGTTTCGCATGTGATTGAGCGCGAACGACCTGATGGTATTTTCTTGACTTTTGGTGGCCAAACTGGCCTTAATGTTGGTGTTCAAATGGATAAGATGGGTATTTTCGACCGTATGGGTGTCAAGGTTTTGGGAACCCCCATCAAGACATTGGAGACCAGTGAGGACCGAGACCTATTTGCAAAGGCGTTGAAAGGTGATCACCCCCTTGATGCTTATAAATATTCCTATTGGGTATCGCGTTTTTGTTTTTTTGTTAAATTTTTCAATTGCTTAAGCGGGGGGCTGGAGGCCCCTTTGAGGATCGCAATTACTGACTTGATATAGAAATCGACATCCCGATTGCCGAGTCTATTGCCGTTAACTCGGTAGACGAAGCTCTTGATGCCGCCGAAAAGATCGGCTATCCAATTATTGTCCGTTCTGCGTATGCCCTTGGTGGACTTGGATCTGGATTTGCCAATGATCGGGAAGAGCTTCATGATCTCTCTGCACGTTCGCTCTCGCTGTCGCCGCAGATCCTTGTCGAGAAATCGCTTAAGGGCTGGAAGGAGGTCGAGTACGAGGTGGTCCGAGATGGATCAAACAATTGTATCACCGTTTGCAACATGGAGAACTTTGATCCATTGGGAATTCACACTGGTGACTCAATCGTCGTGGCTCCATCTCAGACCTTGAGCGATGAAGAGTACCACATGCTCCGATCCTCCGCCATCAAGATTGTCCGACACTTGGGGGTTGTTGGTGAGTGCAACGTCCAGTACGCTCTCCAGCCTGATGGATTGGACTACAGGGTGATCGAAGTCAACGCCCGTCTCTCTCGTTCCTCCGCTCTTGCTTCTAAGGCTACCGGTTATCCTCTGGCCTATACTGCTGCGAAGATCGGTCTCGGACACACTCTTCCGGAATTGCCAAATGCTGTTACAAAGACTACCACCGCCAACTTTGAGCCCTCGCTCGATTACATCGTCACTAAGATCCCCCGTTGGGATTTGAGCAAATTCGCTCACGTCAAGCGTGACATTGGCTCTTCTATGAAATCTGTTGGTGAGGTTATGGCAATCGGACGTACTTTTGAGGAGTCCATCCAGAAAGCAATTCGACAGGTTGACCCTCAATTCCTTGGCTTCCAGGGAGCCAAGTTCAGCAACCTCGACTTTGAACTTGCCAACCCTTCGGACCGCCGATGGCTCGCCGTAGGCCAGGCAATGCTTCACGAGAACTACACTGTCGACCGCGTCCATGAGCTCACCAAGATCGATAAATGGTTCCTGTACAAGCTCCAGAACATCGTAGACAAACACAGAGAACTGATAGAAGTCGGCTCCCTCTTCGGCATAACCCGCGACATCATGAGTTCCGCCAAGAAGATGGGCTTCTCAGATAAGCAGATTGCAGGATGCGTAAACTCCACTGAGCAAGAAGTCCGCGCCCGCAGGAAGAGCTTTGGTATCAAACCCTTCGTTAAGAAGATTGACACACTCGCGGCTGAGTTCCCGGCGGATACGAATTACTTGTACACAACCTACAACGCCACCAGCCACGACGTTGAGTTTGATACTCACGGGATTGTAATTCTCGGCTCGGGTGTTTATCGTATCGGCTCTTCCGTGGAATTTGACTGGTGCGCTGTCTCCTGTACTGTGGCTCTCCGAGAAATGGGGAAGAAGACCATCATGATAAATTACAACCCGGAGACGTACTCCACCGACTTTGACACGGCCGATAAACTCTATTTCGAAGAACTAAGCTACGAGCGAGTAATGGATATCTATGAACTTGAATCTGCTGAGGGTGTCGTGGTCTCCGTCGGCGGTCAACTCCCCCAGAACATCGCCCTCAGACTCCAAAACAACGGGGCTCGAGTCCTCGGAACCAACCCAGAAGACATCGACCGTGCCGAAGACCGCCACAAGTTCTCGCAGATCCTAGATAGCATCGGCGTTGACCAACCCGCCTGGAAGGAACTCACAAGCGTGGAAGAAGCCCGCACCTTCGCCCAGGAAGTATCATACCCCGTCCTGGTCCGACCAAGCTATGTCCTCTCCGGAGCAGCAATGAGTGTGATCCGCAACGAGGCGGAACTCGAAGCGAAGCTACTACACGCATCGAGCGTGAGCCCCGATCACCCCGTCGTGATCACAAAGTTCATCGAGGGTGCCATGGAGATTGATGTCGACGCCGTCGCCTCGGGTGGGAACCTCATTGTGCACGCCGTATCCGAGCACGTTGAAGCCGCGGGCGTGCACTCCGGCGACGCGACGCTGGTCCTGCCACCAGTCACGCTGGACGAAGAGACAATGTCCCGCGTGAAGCAGATCGCGGAGAAGGTCGCGAGAGCCTGGAAAATCACAGGACCATTCAACATGCAGATTATCAAAGCTACCGAAAAAGATAAGGTAGCCCTAAAAGTAATAGAATGCAACCTCCGTGCCTCCCGTTCCTTTCCCTTTGTCTCCAAAGTCCTCGGCACGAACTTCATCGACATCGCCACGAAGGCGCTCATTAACAAGGACGTGCCCGCACCAACAGATTTGATGACTGTGAAGCGCAGTTACGTCGCCACCAAGGTACCGCAGTTCTCCTGGACTAGGCTGGCAGGTGCGGATCCATATCTCGGCGTCGAAATGGCGAGCACGGGGGAGGTGGCGTGCTTCGGTAAGGACCTCGTGGAGGCGTACTGGGCCTCACTGCAATCAACCATGAACTTCAAGGTGCCGCAGCCTGGCACCGGGCTGCTGTTCGGCGGCGACACAACGGAGAAGTACCTCAAGGCCGTTGTCAAGTTCCTTGCGCCGAAGGGGTATAAGTTATATGCTGTCTCCCCCACTGTGAAAGCACACTTGGAAGAAGAAGCGGGTGTTAGCGTTGAACTCATTGAATTCCCGAAAACGGACAAGAGGAAGCTCAGGGAGGTGTTCCAGAAGTATGACATCTCGGGCGTGTTCAATCTGGCAAGTGCAAAGGCGAAGTCGTTAGTGGACGAGGATTATGTCATGAGGAGGAATGCAGTGGATTTTAATGTTCCGTTGTTTATGGAACCCAAGGTTTGCCAACCCCCCCCCCCCTCTCTGTCCCTTGATTAAGTTTTCGGGCTGACGGTGATGATGGAATAGACGGCCGTGCTCTTCGCCCAATGTCTTAGTGAAAAGCTGCCGCTCGAGGATAGGAAGGTTCCTGGAGAGGTTAAGAGGTGGTCGGAGTTTATTGGTGGGAAGCCGTTGTGAGGTTGTCATCCGTCGTGTGGGGTGCAGAGAATTAAGGTGATATTTGCTTTTTTTTTTTTGTTCCAGCTTTTTTCTTTTTTTTCTTTTTCATAATTTTTGGTTGAATAAAGAAAAAAGGTTATTTTTGAAATGACTTAATTCAATTAGCTCGTTGAGGGGGGCTTTGGGTGTTTATTGGGGCCGGGTGGGGGGAAGGGTAGGGTGGGTGGGAAAAGTGTTGTATATATCATACTCGAATAGGTCGAAGAAATTCTTTAAACGTCACTCATTTTTGGTTCCAGCTACGGGCGTTGTATCATACGAGTGCGGTACTGTTAGTTGGCTTGCAGCACTCTGGGTAATAGAAAGTGCGAAAGTGTCGTGTTCGGGGAATGCCTCGCCGTGTGAGTGAGGACTGGATAGAGAATTTGGGATGGGTTAACTTTAGTTTAGCCATCATAAGGTGCATACCCAAAGCCGGGCAAGGAAGAGGGAAGAGCAGCGCTGGCATGCCGCCACACCATTTTTTCTCTTATCATACCACGCAACTGTTCTCCCACTTCAAGCGTCCTTTCACCTTTCTGGAGCTCTTTTAACGATATGCAGCTCCGGTTCGCAGTCCGTGCGCTCCGAACTTCCCGGGAGCCAGTGTTGGCGATCTCGGGATCCCGCGATACCGCTAAAGATCTGTTTTTTGTTGTTAATTTCGTTGATAAGATAAGTTTGTCGAGAAACACCCATACTGTACTGTACTGTACCCCTACATCCGCGAATGGGTGAGGAATGTCCCTGGGATATGGCTCTTCCCCAACCTTATCATGCCCATCGCTTCTGCTCTAGTGAAAGGAACCAAGCCGCAATCAACGTTATGACACCTGTCCCTACACTGCGGACAGGCTTCGTAACCCTTCTGCCTGCTTTGTAGTCGGGGTAACCACGCCAATAAGCGAATGGCTGGATTTACTAGTACTCTTATAATCAAACCCTTTTCTCCCTGCTCTTCTCCTTCCTTCCTTCTCATAAAAACGTTCTTTGCCCGCCGTCCCCTACTTGCTCCTCTTTGTCATTCTCTACCTCCGCTTATCCCGTTCCTTTTCTCGCCAATGAATCGGCTCCTTCCCGGAAGCCGGGTCATCCCGCGCACCCGTCTGATGAACCGCCCTCGCCAACCACAGGTCTCCTGTCGTGCTATCGGAGATTGTACCCCTGCCCTCTCGGTGACTAAGGGTCGCCCCGTGGGTAATCCCCTCCATCACTCTTGATTCTACTACCGTAAAGACTCAAATAATAGAACCGTGTGCTATGTAGTCGAGAATTACCCACTTGAGAAAGGGGGCGAAAAACACAGCAAAAACGGAGCTTCTCAGCCCCCCTCAGAGGCATAAAAAAACAAAAACAACAACAGACTTTACCAGAGGAGTCAACTCCAACGGCATAGCACCCGGTTCGATTATTTGAGTTTTTACGGTAATGATTACAGTGATAGTGGGCACGTGTCTCGCAGATCGACAGACATGTTATGGATTTGAGAAAGGTTTTTTTCCCATTGCTGATTGCTCCAGTTTGCTGTTGTCGCACAGATATAACGTACGTTAGATTAACAGGAATTTGGAGCACTGGCAATGAGGGTCGAGACGGGGTTCATCAAGATGGGCGCCGAAGTATCGGGCATGGAATTAAGGATTTCGGGCTTGTTTTGGTTGCTGGGAGTCGGAGGTATAGAGGGATCTTTGCATCTCTTGGTTTTATTTTCCAGGTAAGCTGCTAGTGAACTCAATTTATTATATGCTAAGCGAATTGAGTACAGGCTGAGGCCTATTTGATGGATCGTACAATCGAATTTTATAGACCAGAAATTCGGAAGGCTTTGGCCGCCACAGTAAGATCCATTCCGAGACTATGTGAGACCTTTTTGCTTACCCATCATTAGGTCACTGGGGGGGCTGGCGAGGAGGAAAAATAAAGATTCAAAGTGTTGAAAAAAACAAAAAAACTTCTGGATGTTGGACGAGGGAACCGGAATTGGCTGTGAAAGGGACCTGTTTTTATTTGGGCCTTCTCTGTGTTTTTGCCGTTGATAAATGTTTAATTGAACACATGTTCAAAAAGTCATGTGCGGAAATGCAGTGATATGTAAAGAGGTGCGAAAACGACCGGTTCCTTATGATAACATGTGTTTGTAAAGAGAACTTATTCTGTGCCAGTGAGTCCCGAGCCCTCCCTGTAGTAATGGCATTCCACGGTGAAGCGAGGTGATCGGTTAGTGAGAGGGCTCATAAAAGTAGTTTCTGTCTCCAGAAAGTTCTATTGTATTCTCGCCTCGCTGTGGGCTCGGTTTGCTGTGGAGTCACTGTACTGGAGTACATGCCCTAATGTGCCTACTAGTCCACACTTATGTGTTCCTCCAATACCATTGCAGCTCTAGTTACTTGCGGTCCTAAAAGCTGCTAATGCAACAATGTACTACGGGGATTATGATACCATCAGGTGTGATGACCTTTAAGAGGTACCTATTTGATCAACAACTAAGCAGCAAGGAAAATCAGGCAAGAGGGAAGACTACCAGGAAACAAAACGAAACGCTAGGAGTTCGTACACTGGCAATAGAAACACGATCGCCAACGTGTTGAAAACCCGCAAAGCCTTCATGCACTTCCATGATGGAGTTACCGGAGCGGAATAAGATGTGTTAGAGTACATTTTAGTATTGTTGGAGATGCATGGAGCCGGCATATTAACAGGGTCTGGGATCTTGTTAGGATAGGAGTAGGATGTGAGCAATGTTTTAGGGATGTCAAGAACTAGTATTGTGTCATGAATTATAACTGAGCAAGAATTTGGTTTCACATGCCTTCGAATTCTGAGCTATAGGTATGTTATCCTTTGTGCTCTAGTATCTGGCTGGCTGTAGCAATTTGCGGAAGTATTTGTCATAGGACTGAGATGGCAGATTTTAAGTCTTTTATGGCACTTGCTGATCTCGGACCACCTATGTACTTGAGTACGATAAACCTATCAGCTACTGGTACTGTAGCATGATTATCATGGAGAATGCTTTTAAAGTGTATGCATCCTCAATGAGATTGTACCCACAGCCAGATTATTTACTAACGAACCAGTAACCAGGGGAAGGAAATTGCCTTTAAAGGAAAGACTCTTGGTGTGGGTGCGATCTCCGCGTGGGTACAGCCACTTTAACATTACATGGTGTCGTTGCATAGACTATCTGCGACACGAGCACAACACGACGTGTAACCGCAAAGGGGCATGGTAGAAAAATTTAGGGCAGCACAGAAATATGCGTATTTTGAAGTGGGTGTGGTAGGTTCGTGTAACTTGTACTTGCACTGTACCTGGTGTGAATATCAGGGCTTCCGGGGGGACGGTTTTTCTGTGTCTTTGTTATCTGTGATATAGACTCGTCTCTCACGATATGGAGGTGTTGTGGTGGTGGGCGGGTGGGGGGGATAGTGGATGGGATGGATGAGGATTGCCTGCTTCTTCCGCGCTCGTGGAAAAAAAAAATGGGGAATTTGAGATTGGTAACTGTGTTCGAGAATGATACTACGGTTGAAGAACCTTCCTTCCTTGATCATAGGAGTATCACATAACGACCCCCATGTTTGCTAGTGTAGGGCTTCTTTGGACCCACCTCAGCCTAATTGTTTAGGCCGGGCTGCCGGGTACCTTACAGACCCCACATAGGAACTTTCGGGAACCCTGTAAAATATTCCCCGTGCCCTCCAGAATACTAGAACAACCGGGACGGAAAGGGCAAAGCCTCCCATCCCACCGAAGAACAGGCAAAACTTTGATATTTCCCGGAAGGAGCATATAAAAATCCTGCCCCCCCCCCCCCCTGTATCGAGATCTCGTCAACCGCTATCTTCGTCATTCCCCAGGTAAAAAAGACAAAATCCAAAATCCAAAACAAAACAGAATGCAACTCTCAAAGTCTCTTGTTTTCCTCGCCGCTCTGGGCTCCGTCGTTGCAAGCCCGGCCTTCCTTTTACCTCGCGGTGACTGCGCAAACTGCATGACGGTTTGCATCACCTCTTGCACTCGTGCGGCAGCTCGTCAAGAGGACAGAACCAAATGCTCCACTCAATGCTGTTTGTGTTCCCCGTCGGGATTATATCGAGACTCGTGCTTACCTTGGTGATAGGCCCTGTGTGCTCTAGTGGTGGTGTCAATATTTGCACGGAGCCATGCACCAACTCTTAAGGGGTTTGTTTGTTCCCTTCTTCCATAGTGGGTGTATCGGAGGCCAACTGACGTGCGGTGGAGTATTCGTACAGTGACGGTCTGTTTTGGTGGTGGTTATGACATGCTGGGTACCTGCGGTTGGGGTTAAAGATACTGGATTCTATGTGTATGAGGGAAATAAAAGGATGGAGATTGTAGGGTTGACTCCGGATTTTGGTTCCCCTCATTCTCTGGACTAGTTTTAGAACAATACCGTAAGTGAATGTATTGTGGGTAACTGATGCAGTAGCATGGCTTGGAGCTGTAAGATGCGATACCGGGGAAAGGTATCTCACAGTGCAGGATTTAGTACTGGGGGTAGAATGTCTTGCCGTATCATAGGAACTCATTTGTTTAATGTGCCGACAAATTGAGCATTCTTATATAATCTCAGGTTGACTGCAGATCTCCGACTTGAGGATGTTAGAGGATGGCTGGGCGGGGGGTTCGGGGGGGAAGGATTGATAGCATATGATATGAGGAGGGCTACAAGCAGGGGGCCACTACTATGAAGGAGCCAAGTTGGATCCACCATATTGTTCTCGCGAGTGCTGGAGGTAAATTCTGGGCGTAAATATAAATTAGAGATTCATTCCTCCTCTATATGCTGTCACACCATTATTGAGATTTGAAGGAAATTTTTTTTTTCATACTAGCCCGCCGAATGGCATCTGTCTAGCGGGTGATTTTGTGGTAAGTTGCCACGCTGCATCGTTTCTGCCGTATCATGGGATGTGTAAACGTCGATGCATTGACACCGAAGCTTAGACGAGTGA